CGTTAGTCATCTAAATCAAGTTATTAAAAAATTACAGTGTTTACATTATTTAAAAAATCAAACAGAATTTAATTTTATAAAATAAAAATAAAATCTTCGTAAATCAATCGCCACATTGTTTGGAATATTTGTAAAAATCCACTCTATCGAAATTCAACCTTCGAGCAGCCTTGCGTTTAAATGCGGAACGCATTGGCGCCCGGCCGTATCGACCCGACGCTATGTGTGCCACTGCCTCCCTTCTCCCAAACCCCCTACCAGCTGACACGATCACACTTGACTTTTAATACTCCTCATCATTAGGCCCTGTGCACTTGTTAAAAGTGTCGTTTATTTGATATAAAGCGTAAGTCACTGTATATTATCACTAAAGACACTTACTTTAAAAACCAAGAGTTCTTTTTTTTAATATGTACTAATTATATTTAGTGGAATATTAAAGGCTCTATATACTTTTAAACCTATAAAATGCAACAACGTCAAAAAAACATTGACCCAATTTCAAATTTGGAGACCAGATAAAATCATTCTGACTTCCTGTAAATAACAGAGATAACAAAGAGGCATGGAGCTCACTTAACGGAAGGTGAAATAGACCGACCCTTTGAAACTTAATAATGGCCTGATGCGCTATTGGCCTATTTTTTTATTGGAAACACGGATTGAAGGTAAAAGTTTTGAAATATTGATTTACGACCCCGTAGCGCCTTCGTAGCGAGCTCTACGATAAATGCAATGTAAATGACAGTACTCCACAACATTATGTTCACTCTTATCTCAATAAGTAATATTTTCGATGTTAATTCATCATATGTAAGATCCGTTTACACGAGCGGGGCTTGAACCTACGACCATAGTGCTCTATGATATCATCAAAATAGTTAAATAGTTTTAACGTTAAATTAAAAATTTAATATAGATTGAAAAAATTACGACACGGGCAGGACTTGAAACGACATCCAGTGTTCCGTGCTGTTGCTCTAACCAATTGTGCTACCGTACATTAATTTAACAACATAACATAGTGAAAAATATTAACGTTTTCAATCTTTACTTCTATTGGAATAATGGCGCATTTGATATCGACATCTAATCCAATTTATAAATAACTTGACCCTCGATATCATAAGTGGTAAGAAGTGTGTTTTTATTTACGCACAGTGGATTGGATTCGTTAGATGTTATTGAGTTGGTACTTAAGGTCAATGGCTTACCTACCTCCATAATATGAGTCGACACTGTGGGTGGCTGTCTTTGCGAACGTAGCCTATCTTTGCAAAGATTTCTCTATAATAAAACTTCTCAGCCCCATTTTCCGAACAATGATTTGCGGACGTAACAATTATAGAGAATAGTGTAGGCGTACCATGAAGCAATATCAATATCTTCAGTATAAAATATTGGGTCAGTCCAGATTAAGTAAAGACAAATTACAAAGATCAACCGTTCCATAGTATTAATAGAACATTCGTATTTAACATTAGGAAGGAAAAGCTTGGTCCTTCCTTCTTTTAAATATATCAGTAAAATAACAGTATAGCCTTTGTCTTCAAATAACGAAAGTGCAATAGGTATGTTTATTACTTAGTTTATAATATTGTGCAAATTTGCCTTAAATTTGTACACAACAACACGGTATGTTGATCTAGTGGTTAGGGCCCCCGAAAAAAACTTGGGGTCGTTTTTTTTTTTTTTAGTCTTGTCTAAAGGCTAGTTGTGTATCTGGTGCTTACTGGGTGGAAGGTATATACCCCGAACCGTTTAAAATCCCAACCCGAAGCCCCCGGGGCCCCTTTTTTTTTTTGGTTTTCCGGGAAAACCCCCCCCGGCCCCAAATTTCCCCCCCCCCCTTTTTTTTTTGGGGGGGGGGGCCCCCCCCCCCGGGGGGGGGGGCCCCCCCCCCCCCCCCCCCCTCCCCCCTTTTTTTTTTTTTTTTTTTTTTTGGCAATAAGATCGAACCCACGACCGATTATTAGCCATACATTGTTACCGTTACACCAATGAGACCGTCATATTGTTTGTATACAAATTGTGAAGGAAGCAAAACACTGTGAAAAACTGGCATGTCAGAGAAGTAAATACGATGTTACGATTAGTAGATTAATGTCTGATGATGTAGCTCTATAAGATAGCTTAATATTATATATGTAGATATAACAAGGCAACATAATATATACTTTAGCCATTTTGGCGTATATTTGTGAAATAAGGGCAGACGTTGATATCTAAATACGGCACGAGCTAGAAGTCTGTGTGCACGTAACAAGGCCCGGTTCCCACGCAAGAGGGTGGCCCGGGCTGGGGGCGTCTGCCCCCCTCCCTCCGACCTCGAAAACTTCAGCGTCAACGAAACGAACAGGTACGTCGCAATTAGTCAAGATTGTTTACGTGGTAAGTCTTGTGCCTCGTAAGAAAGAGGACCGAATGCGGTTTGTGCTGAAATTAGCCGAATGTTCGGCTCAGTTATAAGCCGAAATTAAGTTTATACTTGTTTTATGATGATGATTCCAGTCAATACAGTCTTTGTCGGTAAATAATGTTTAAGAATATACGCAGCGATTGTTCATACTGCACTAAGGATAAAAATTTGCATGTTTCTACGTACATAACAACTACATTGCTTAGACGTACTTATTAAAATGATGAAATTAAGGATTTATCGTGTTCGGAATCGAAATAAGATGCACATCCCTCGAAGTAAGGCATATACACACTTTACTCTTAAAAGCAATGTTAATTTTGTAAGTTTATAACTGACTTTTTTCATACTAACAAATTTAAGAACACAAAGTAATATTGCATATGTATTTATAAATAATTATTTTTATAGAAGTAACGGAAATGTTAATCACATTTTGTTAACTTAATTAAAACTATGCGACATTTCATGCAATCGGTACACGCTTTTACGTAAATAAATAAAAAAATGTACGTCGAACAATGAAATAAGTATGGTTAATCTTTATAATTACTTAATAATAATTAATAACCGGTAGAATATCTCAACAAAAACGTGCCTTGCGCAATTAAATTATAAATATACCTACGCAAAAAAAAGTAACATATATAAGAAATTAAAACTCACTACTTAATTATATTTTATCCCTAGAACTTCTACTCAAACCTTGAAAATTTCAGCGTATTCAAGCCTATTGAATTAATTACCTTCACTGATTCTGGATAGTTAAAATTTTTATCTACATATAGCAAAATCATAACTGTAATTGATACATAAAAATTAACAAGATCTTTTAGATACTGTCTATAGTTTACGCGAGTAGTACACATTTAAGTAAAACACTTCAACGGTTGTCACGGGGAGACACGGCTGCTGCAAAGCATCCGAAACGTCGGGCCGAAATTAAAAATCATTTTCAAATAAGTTTAACTAATATATCGCGTTTTAAACCGTTGAAGTGTTTTATTTAAATATTTTTTAGACATAATATGATTTATTTTATGATCAAGGAGGACATATAAACATGCTTTATGCTTTAGCCGTATAACATCTTAACGAGATGCGCTATCGGCCTATTTTGGCCTTCAATATTCGCAAATCGTGAGGCTGAAACGCGATTAATCTTCAAGGCTTTTTTGTCTGTGGACCCATGGATCATGTCCCGTACGGAATTTTGTTACTTCTACCAACCAATTAACATCCAGCATTTCAAAGGTAATGTTTGCGAAAAAATATTAATTGACCCGATTATTAGCCGATTTAAGCCCGTCAAATTGTAAAAAAGTAAATGGCTAATTCCCTTCTTCCATGATTAACATGGGGTATATGCTCCTTACGCAATATTTACATCCATACGTTATGATATTATTTTAAAATTATAAAGCTAACAACACAACGAAAATATGCTCCTTCTATTTGTTTTACGCACAAAAACAGAAAATGGCCTTGAATGCAGTCTAACTCGTCATTTGTTATTGTGCTATCCGATAAGATAAAAATCTGCTAATGCGTCGATACTTTTGACACGCATATAACCCGAATTTTAATACGCATTATCGTCTTGTAAAGTTCTGATTTCATAGATGATAAAAAATTACAATTATAAACATTATTAAATTTTTAATGAAATTGGCAACTCTAATGAAATAACTCGAGTAAACTTCAGATACAAGTTCGAAATACATATTTTTATTTTTTTCACGTCATATTTCCCAATTTATATGAATGGTAACGATTACGGTGACACAGTAGCTTAATTGGTTGGAACGATGTGGATGCCGGTTCAAGTCCGGCCGTGTTTTTTCAAACTAGATAGATTTTTAATTTATAAGATTTACATTATTATATTCCTGATTAACGAATTTGTCATAGATTGTCTTCTCGTGACCCGTGACTCAAACCCATTTTTTTTACGAATACTTATATTTACTTTTCAAATATTTTACTTCCTCAAGCGAAAAAAATGATAAACAGATTATAGCAATTTCAACTAGAACAATTTGCACAAACTCTATAACTAATTATCATTAAATTATATGCATCTAGAATGAAAAATGTTATCTATAATTACGCTGAAACTGGTCAAAGCCTAATTTACAATCATACAATCTCTCATATAATAAATACAAGAACTCCACGAACTTAGTTTTGATAAAGAGTTCACTGACATTGTATTTTGGCGATAATTTATTTCAATAGCATTGCATTTTTCCGTTGGCGACACGTGTAAGACTACTTAAAGATATTTGTGTTATCTATAATTCAACTTTTACTTTCTGCCTACCAAAACTAGTATAATACGTACATACTTAATAATATTAAGTGGTTCTACTTCCATAATAAAAATATCTAGGAAAACCACAATTTGTTATGGAATTACCATTATAATGAACGAATCATGGGTAAATATAAATGTTAAATGAACACAGAACGTATTTAAACCAGCAATAGTATGGTACAGAACAGCCAGATACAAAAGTAACGAAAACCCTTGTAACGGATATTTAGAGTAACGAGTACATGATTAGATATTTCAACTTACCCTCGCAGTAGAGTGTGACGTCGGCTAAACTCTCCGAATTCCAGAGGTTTGCGAATGAGGTTGCCAAGTTGGAGCCGAAGCTGTTCCATTTCAGGCAATATTGTTGCTGCTGAGTGTCCATGCCCGGGCCTCCTCGGATACCTGCCCTGTTGATGAAATTAACGGTCAAACTAATTGTTAAATAGGTTACCGCGTCTACTAATAAACGAACTATGCACAACATATCACCGACATGCCGTCGAGACGTCATTGCAATCTATACTAATATTATAAAGCTGAAGAGTTTGTTTGTTTGAACGCGCTAATCTCAGAACTGATTCAAATTCAAAAATTCTGTACGTGTTAGAGCATTTATCGAGGAAAGCTTAAACGTATAAAATATTTCGTTGCAACCAAAAACAGCGCAGAAACAGAAGGACATGTTGAACAAACAAGAAAAACTTTTTAAATTTGAGAGTTTCAGTTGCATGCGCGGCGAGAACGGTACGATACAAGATACCCAAAAAATGGATGTGAAAGAATTATTCCTCTTTAAATGATCTAAAAAAATGTCTGCGACAGCATATGTCTCTCTTTCTCTTTCAATATATCAACTTGCAAGAACAACGGGCGCGGATAACTTCGTAGGTAATAGCTAAAATTTATATAGACGACGTTTTCAAAAACAAATGTTGATGCCCAAAATAACTATTCTACGCGGACGAAGCCGCGAAAAAAAAATCCTTTTTAAGAACTTAACTACTGCTTTTTTGAACTCTTCATTGAAATAATAACCAGCAACTAAGCCATAATTCTAAAAGAACACAGGTCCAATAGTTTTTTTCTCAATGAATACGTAACTAACAACTCGTCATTTCCCACGCTGTTGTTGACTTTCCGTTGTTATAGCAATTTCGATAACGAAATTATAATTATGAAAACCTACAACCAATGGACCATCCATCAATGCGACGATAGATAAAAAAATTGAATAATAAACAAAATACAAATTTGAAGTAGCCGTGTCAGCGACTTCGTCCGCACATATTAGTTATGGACATTAAAATTAGTTTTTGCTAATTGCCTCTACATCTTTATAAAATTAAGCAGTTATCTACAACGTCGGTCGCGTCCCGTCGTTCTTGTATGTTAATCTTAAAAAATTGTCATACATAGTGTCGCAGAATTATTTTTTTAATAATTTAAAAAGGAACCATTCTTACATACATATTGTGAGTATCTTAAATCCCTTTCGCAGTGTACGCAACGCAAACCCAAAGATGAATATTTTTTTCCGATTTTTCCACATTTCCCGCAGTTTCTTCGCCCCTATTAGACGCAACGCGATGTTTTAACCTATAACCTGCCTCAAAATATATATTTGTATAGATTCATGCAGTACACACCTTTTACATTTAAATTCTAATAATAGACTTGAAGGGCCGATACGGTATCGATTCCACTACGACCTCCGTTACAGCCTAACTGTATATTTGCATGCGTGCACGTATATTCTACCAAATTAATTTGAACCGTTCGACAGTGTCGGATCAAACACTAATAGGTCCATGGGGGAGGTCAGCTTATGGTGGTCGCGTTATTTCGGCTACGACCTGGTTCCGGAATGCAGCGCGCGCACGCGTAGAAAAGGGGGGAGGGGCGAGGAGGAGCGGTTGCATCGAGTTGCGCAAAGCGCACGGTCACTTGCAAGTCGTAATGATAGGAACGATGTCTGCTTTGTTTTAGGGGACCGTTATTTGGTCCACAATTTCTTTCGACATAATTACTTTTATTAATGTTTGTTTACATTGTTGCACAAGTATATGACGTACAACGAGTATCTTTATTTAACTTACATATATATACAATTGTTACAATATATATACAATACTTTTATAAACAATTGGAATATTTTATTTATAATGAAACTTTTTTATCGAAATGTTCTAAGGATTATGTACTTAGTTAATAATAATCATTTCATTTTGTTTGAATACTAAATATTAATTTTCACGTGTTATTGCACACAATGACTTAATATAAACAAAAAATCTACTTAGATGTATCCATGGGTTAAAAAAATTCGACAACAAAAGTGTAAGACACGGTAGCTCAATTGGTTAGAGTGAATGTCGGTTCAAGTCCCGCCCGAAGTACGAACTTTTAGATTATTTGTGACAAATATAAGATAATTTTAACAGTTTTAAACGCACAGCCGTTCTCACGGGGGACTCAGCAGTGGCACGTAGCCACGGCTTCTACAAAACGTTAGGGCATAAGTAGTTGAAATAAATCGTAAATAAGTTTAAATATAACATTTCGCGTTTTAAACTGTTACAAGTGTTTTATTTAAATGTGTACGACTAGCGTAAACTACAGTAGTTAATTGACATATTGTGTGATGGCGTTTCTTTGGTCTAGGGTCTTATTGTCAGCTGATTTGAAAGTCAGTACCGAGTCTGCAACAGCAAGTCCATAAACTGGCAGCCAACGCCACCTTCTTGCTTGAATATTCAGCCAATAAGATGGCACGTTTGCACAGCCATAACATTTGAATGGATTCAGATTCTCGCTCCACAGAGCATGATAACCCGAATAAAGGGCGGATATGGCGCATCTAACCGCAAATATTGTTTTTCGTTTTTCCCTTAAGCTTGATGTCAATGATCGGTGTTTATCATAAAAACTTCAGTAGGAAACCAATTAAAACATTTTCCTTTCACTACTTTTATAAACATTGGTCTCATTTTCAATGCAGTCATTATTGGGTATCTAAATCTTTACAAATATTATAAACTAAGGTTTGTTTGTCTAAAAGTGCTAATCTCAGGAAGGTTCCAATAAAAAGTTATTGTTGTGTTCGATAGACCATTTATCGAGAAAGACTTTAGTTTACATAACATTATGCCATTAAAGGAAGTGAAGAAACATTAACACGTGGAAAAGACGGAGAAAATCTCTTGCGTGCTTCCAACGTTCAAGAAACAAAAATACGTACAAAGAATGATCTTTAAAAATCCGCCGACAGTATATATCTCTTTAAAGATTAAGTCACGGGAATACTTTTTATTGTAATTCAATTTGTATCAACACAATAATGTAAAGAATAAAACAAGATTTGCCGTACCACCGAGTATAAAATAATATATCTACACTCAAGTAAGAAAATTCTGTGGTTAATTTAGTCTTTAACACGATTGTTGTGCTAAGACGAGACCGTTGTTAAATCGTATAAGAAGTAAAAATCGCATATTCGCATTAAAAAGATCTAGATAACGATGACTATATATACTTACTTGAAATCAAATAAAAATTGTAAACAAGGCGTTGCAGTGTGTGTGACATAGATTGGACTTATCGCGCCGCTGTAAATAGGTAAGTAGGTCGAATGCATTGCGTCCGAGGCCCACGGACCCATCACATTGTGGGAACTACATCAATATTCTTGTATTGAAAATGACTTTCACTTTCATTTTTGAATACGATGTCAGATTGGTTTGGTATACCAATAATACTAAATCGTAAAACCTCTCTTAATTAAGCTGGTACTTTTATACTGAAACAGATAATAATCGAAAACATTCGTACAAGACTTTTAGAATGTTTTTCTAAATGACTAAGGCCGTTAAAAGTGCGCATGCGTGAACACTAGATTACAAAAACATTAATTAAATAAGTAATGAAGAAGGTATTCTAAATTATTTTTTTCAAAAATTCTTAGTACAGATCTGCGTACACTCTGTATTTAGTACTCATTTAAATAAAGCACTTTTAACGGTTAAAAACGCTATCAATATATTAAGTTATTGTAAGCCTGCCCCGCATGATGAAAGCTGCTTTAAATTAAATATATTTTGCATTTTAAAACGTTTAAACATTATTTACTTTAGAAATATTAAAAAAAATAATTTTCTTAAGTTTAAGACACTTAAAAATGCGAACGACTTTTGCAATATATTTGAAAATGATATTTATTCGAGTATAATTAATGGTCTTGTATTAAGAAAATAGTAAGCTTTCCTGTGTTTTGTTACTGAATGAAATTGTTATAATAGCATCTATTTTAAATAGCGACTTAAAACTTTGTGTTTTTCGCTTGCACTGAATGCGATGATCAATTGATAGTAACAAAAATGTACTCGCACGCAGTTTTCAGCGCTTACGTAGTACTTAAAAAACTTAGTTATAGTAAATTGTTGATTCAAGATTCACATATTTAGTAAATAATGAAAGATATGTAGTAAGCGTTAATATCTTTTATAATCGTCAAGACAAGCAGGCATACAGGGCTAGGTAGTTTCTTTGTGAAAACTTAAATATTGTCAAACAAACAACACAAACAACTGAACAACAAATAAAGATTAAAAATTAAACGTAAGCGTTGTGCCTAAGTGCAAGTTCCGTTCTGTATTTAAGCGATTTGTAGTTCTTTGTTTCACCTTAGTGATTCTTTACGCATTACGCAACTAGTTTTGAAACTCAAGCGCATACACCAGACCAGTTTTCTAAATTTCAAACGTGTTCGATGCATTTAATTACACGTGGAGTAGTATTATTTATTCTTTAGATGATTTTTATAGAGCACGGGTATCTGCTATTGTAACTAAAAGACGTATACTGCAAGTACTTCTTTGAAACAAGTCAATTATTACAATAATTTTATAGATATTTATGCAACATACTGAGGCGGGCATTAAAATTATTATTTCTTCGGCGATGATAGATAGCCTTATCGAAATTAGAATTAATAGAGATCTTTTTGAATTGAAACCAATTAAAATGTACTATAATACTACCTACTAACTACTACTACCTACCTACCTACTACTAACTAAATAATCTATTTAACCTACCTCTAACAAAGTTTACATTGAGCAACATTTCTCTTGATGTAATGTACCAGCGTGATTTAGTATCAGTATTTTACTTTATTATTATATATTTTAAAAATCGAAAATAAGTTGAAAAAATTTTCGACAAGGCCAGGACTTGAACCGGCATCGTCAGCGTTCCAACAAAGCAACAGCACGGAATACTAACGATGCCGGTTTTTTAATTATCTAGTGCCTTCATGTGCAATAACATGTAAAAATATTTAAAGTTTTCAAATATTATATATTTTATCTTCATAAGCTTTAAGAAATACAAGAAAAACTATTTTTCTATCGTTACAAATAATTAATGATTGATTGACTCTGCTTTTATCAAATTATAAGATTTTAGTTCTCAATTCTGACAGAAGAGAAGCACACAGAGAAATCAAATGCGCAGGTATATCCTAACACACTTTCTACTGCGTTTTCAAACGCGGTACGACAAAGCGAATAGAAAGTTGCAGGTACACTGCAGTGCGTACACGCATTGATGTTTGGAACTTTGCGTTGACCCACATGTGTGACGCTGATGTATAAAGTTTAAGTGCATTTGTATTCTTAACTTTGTTTAAATTCGTAACTTTTATTTACAGCTAGCTTTGCCAGTGACTTCGTCTGCCTAGAATACTTTTTACAATTCTGCTGTTTCTTCTATTAGTCACAGCACAATGTGTTATAGCCTGTAACCTCCCTCGATAAATGCTCTAACCAACACAGAAATAATTTGTCAATTCGAACCGGTAGTTCCTGGGATTAGCGCGTTCAAACAAATAAACAAACAAACTCTTCAGCTTTATAATATTAGTATAGATAAGATGCTTACGAGTTCCTTAAAAATAGACTACTGGCGACATAAAATTCAGATAACAGTTATATAAATAATAACACCAGTATTTTATACGGAATTTAAAAAACGTGTCCTTTCTGTTGTGGAGTTTAAGCATCCAATGACCAAGATTCAGAACAGTTACTGGTGCACACTTAACAAACGCCGTGCGTCTATTGACTGAAACAAATGTGTGCAGTCGTGCATCCAAGTCGTGCGATTAGTCGCCCCGTCCTTCGCGGCGTAATTTGCACTGGCGATCTTAAAGGCGTTAAAATTGAATCATTAGTTCTTCTCGAATCGAACAATTATTAAAAAAAGGGATACACAATAATTATTTACATCACAATTATCTGCGTGGTAAATTGTCTCTTATAGAATTTTGTGAAGGGCCTTTCGAAAGCTGTCTTAGAAAAGGGGGACGGATAATGCGAGGGACATTTCCGCGTGGGGACGTAACAAAGGCCCCGTGGCTAATCCTTGACCCAAATGCAACCAGTTTGGACGAACCACCGCACTCCAGTCCCACACAGGTTCAATTACCTATTGTGGGAAAACCAGCTTTGGATATTGTTATATATGAGCATATAAGGACACTGTTTATCAAAATTATGTACATATAATTAAATCGACGTTAGCGACGTGATTAGTTGGGCTTTGATCATTTTACAAAATTGATCATAAAAAAAATAGTCGAGTTGCATACAAAATACAAATACAGGATATTGCTGACATACTTCGCGAAATTGTATATGTACAGGTTCCGGTACCGATAAACCTGTTTTAATTATATAGGAGGACCGGCAAGTATGGGGGTCACTTATAAAAAGTGCGCTGTCAACTTATTTTGGCTTTGAACATAGAAGACAGAATCATAGAACATAGAAGAAGAACATATCAGAATATCGCTATATCAAAATTAAACGTAAAAAAAACAAATCCTTAATCAATATCTGCTCCTTATTAAAATTGTATATGGTTAACTGCGGGCAATTATTTTGGAAATCAAATTTGTCACGGCCGAAACTAACATCCTAACTCGCTAATCGGTAGGAACTACTATTCACGACATGTGTGACGTAATTCTCCGCTGACTAATAGCACCTGATAGATCTTGACGCGGCGTAACGCGTGACGCTGTACGCGGCTCACTGCGTTAATAAGAGGGCATAGCTGCCGGCCTTGTAACGTTACGTAATCGTCGCGCCTTGAAGGTCCTCCGGGAGGCTGTCCTTGGCTCCCACCTACCTCACACCGCTGCCAGGATTGAGCCTAGACGCAGCCAGGCTTCGGAATAAATGTCAGACGTTCATTCGAATACCTATAGCTTTACGGAGACTATATACTACATTAATCTCTACAACATTATTTACTAATATAAATACTTTATTATATATATTTAATTTTAAGTAATACATCGTCTAAGTATTATTTATGGGAGTAGTACACATTTAAATGTACTTTTAACCATTTAAAACGCGAAATATATTAGTTAAATTATTTACAATATCATGTTTTTTACGGCCCGACGTTTCGAATACTTTGCAGACTATTGTTTTGTTTCAAAAGAAATTGCATTTTTATGAATTTTTCCATAACCTCAACCGAGGCAAGGAAGGTAAAATCGTAGTTTAAATCGCGTTATTATGTCGTAAAATTGGATTTTATTAATATCTATTTTTAAAGATAGATAACTAGTACATTCATATTTTTTTCGTTTCTTTTTGGACCTGTTTTGCGAACTTGTTCTTGATATAAATTAGCCTAAAGTGGAAGCATTAAAACGGTTATAAGTTAGTATTGACTTTTTTATAGAGGTATTTAAATATTTTATTGCTGTAAAATGTATTATTTGATCCACTTTTACGTTTTTTTTTGCTTCGATTTCCATGGCCTGCATTTAGACATTTTTTCCGCGAGAATCGTTATTTTGGGCATCCAAATTCTTTTGTGCAAACCCCTACATCTTTATAAACTTATACTGTTACTCACGACGTCAGTCGCGCCCCTTCCCGTCGTTCTTGCATGCTAATCTTAAAAGATAGACACATAACCTAAGACTTTTTTTAGATTATTTGAAGGGGATTAATTATCTTACAAATATTTTTGGGTATCTTGAACCGTTCTTGCGGCGTACGCCTGGAAAACTTTAAACAGTGATATAATGTTTTTTTTAATAAAACACTTTAACGGTTTAAAACCCGATATATTAGTTAAACTTATTTGAAAAATGTCCCCGTGACCTCGGCTGCTGCAAAGCATCCAAAACGTCGGGCCGAAGTTAAAATTCATTTTTCAAATAAGTTTAACTAATATATCGCGTTTTAAACCGGTAAAGTGTTTTATTTAAATGAATACCACTCGCGTAAACTATAGACAGTATTTTTTTATCATTCTAAATTGGGAAGCACCTCTCACACCATGGTTACTGCTGAGCACGACGTTTTACCATAATCACAAGAGATCACAATTTCATGATGGACCATAACGTTACCTATTTAAATAAATTTAACCTTATCTATGTTGTATGGCGTTCTCGTAGTTCTCTTCATAACTTTAAGTTGTCTTAATTCTTTTAAATCTACAATTATAGACACATTTTATCATATATTTCCGTATAGGTTAATGCGTTGCTATTTGTTTTAGTCTAATCAGCGGTTATCATCGCGAGTCTATGAAATAAAGGTTATCTAAAAGCCGATACCACGTGGTGACGAAGAATCTCATCAAATGATGGCAAAAACATTTTTATATTATCTAGGTACTTTGCTTAGCATGTCAATAAGTCACGTGTCTATGCAATTTAGGTATTATCTAAAACTAGATTACGTTTAACGTTTGATAACAAACACACAATTAATAATTACCTATATTATGTAGATCATATAGAAAACATTAGTTTACAAACAGTCACGAGATCCAAGATTCGAATCCCGGATCGATTATAATATTTGGTAAAACACTTTCAACGGTTTATAACGCAAAATATATTAGTAAGTACTATTTTTAACTATAAACTACGTTAGCTGCTGCATATATTCGTGTTTCAGACCGTTTTTATTGTTTTTTAATGTTTTATTTCATTGTCACTATTTGCGTAAACCACCGCTATTATTGACAGGATGAAAGCCTGGTGGGTCTATCTCTTAATCTAACAATGTAAAAGTGGGCAAAACGCAACGCCCAGCAGTGAGACTGGTATTTACATTCAGGTTATTACGATAGAAAAGCATAATATACCGAGTTTTTTTTTTTTTTGATTGATTATTACGTATTGTGTTCCTATGGAGCCACGAATACTAACCGGACGTTTTGGGCGAGCGCGTCAGCGCTCGCCGTGTTTGCGACTAGACCAAGGGTGCCCCGAGGGGGGATATACCTAGGTTATAGGGTTCAAGCTATATAAAGTAATCTCTCGCTATTTACTCCTCTCCCCTCCACTCTTCCCGACGGCAACAGCCATGAAGACACATTGACCCCGAACGCCGATCCCGCGTCTTCGTCCGCTGGTCGTCTGGGTCAGGGCTCCCCGGGGGCTGCCGGGGCGGGGGGCGGGGGGGGGGGGGCGGGGGCCCCCCCCCCCCCCCCAACAACCCCCAGAGACCGCCTTGTATTAAAGCCCTAATCTCTTGCGGAGCCCGACAGGGCTGTCAAGGGACCCGCCGCCCCGGGGGGGGGGGGGGGAAAACAACAGCTATTTAGGCGTAATACAAAGGAAGGATTGGAATAACAAAAATCTTCTACGGGTAAAGGGCTCGCTAGTGATAAAAGCTTATTAGCAAAGTAGTTTACGTTTTATAGTATTCAAAACAATGATGTGATAAGCTAGAGTATTGTAGAATATAACTGCTAAGACCTAAGCGGTTCTGTTTCTTAGAATAAGACCAGGCGATCAAACGCCCTCGTGAGGCCAAGTACAAGGAGAAACGACAGGGCCTGGCGATGGCAGTAGGCGCTAATTATCATCGCGCGAGCGCTAGGGAGTTGGGGCCAGTTTGACAGTTTCTATGCAAATGTTAGTGCGTCGCAAGACCAGTTCTCGTCTCAAAGCGGTTCCGGGCCTATTCACGCCCATAACTATTTCGGAACGCAATGGTCGTAAACTGGAATCCTCGGTGAATTAATTAAGGTGTACAAAAAAAAATGCGTTGTAAAATGCCATCCTAACTATCCCAGCTGTAACCGGTCGGATAGAGAATCTCGGCGAAAAGTGTGATGCAATATATGTATAAAAAAGATACGGTTGTATCATTATCAAGTTCAATAGCCCCAAAACGGCAGCACGTGTATGCAAAAACTGGGAAACGATCGAGATCTATGCAAAAATACCCTCTAGACAGAACAAGTTAAGGCGTAAACTGCGATACATTCAAGTCAACGTGCTTAGTATTTATCGCATGCCTCAGGGTGTCAACACACATTTATCAATGACATCGTATCTGGAGCCTAGATTGACTCACAGATGAGTACCGCGAGTCCCAACCGAACCGATGGACTAAAGGGAACAATTGAACAGTACTTTCCTCGAATCCATGAATGTCCAATTAGGCAGTCCTTGAATACCTTCAGATCAATGCTCAGCCGAGCTCACATATACATAGTTCGTATCACTGAGTCTGTTCACTGTATCACTCGTTTCACTAGCTTTGGCCCCGACGCTGTCCGCGCTCACTTCCGCATGTTGCAACGCGCGCTTGCGCCTATCGCCGTGCGCAATACGGCCGCGTTTAACTGCCGAATGTCGAGAGGCTCGCTCGCGAATGCCGCCGCCGAAAACTCAACTCCGTTCGAATGCAGAAAATTTGGACGCGCCGGGTGGGGGGCGCTGTGCGAGTACGACTATCCGAAACTGAGCGTACGTGCAGCGCTTCACTATGAAAAAATCCAAGGTTAACGCGCGTTGCCAAAAAAAGACGCACGCAGAATGAAAAAAGACAGCTAGATCGGAGCCTCTCGGGGCGCCTAGGTGCAGCCGCTTCTGCACACACTACCGCATTCGTCAATGCCTCGTGACCTCACTTTGTTTCTAGGCTTCAATCTTTATCGAATTGTTTCGTCGCTTCTAGTCAACTGATAGGTCTTGTCTGCGATTACTTTTTGATTCGTACGATAAACGTTAATAGATACATTGTTATAGAAAATTATCAGCTTAAGTTATAATCGTTCAATTTTGTAGACCGTCATGTTTCCTTAAAGCTCAAAATTTGAGTAGATATAAAAAGCGTATTCAGCGGTTCGCATCAACAATGATGTAATGTTCAAACCGATCGCTCCGAATAACAATGATGCAGCTCACAATTGTATGACCATAAAATTGACGTGACCTTGTACTAAACATTAAATTCTTTGTGGAGGGATAGCAATGCCGCTATATATTTCATACTTTCATACTTGTTTAGATAAACAAATTATAATGATTACCACAGTCTACAACCTGAATAATAAACTAAATCAATGTGAAGGTATTTAATAAAAGGTAAAACATAATTCAGTGTAGAACCGTCTTATCATCAATTTAGCAAGGCCACGTGTATTATGATAGGGTATATGTTGAAATTAGAACACAGAATGTTCTAAATATTATATATTAAACTTAGGATTACTTTTTTTAACACCTAACTCACTGGACAAAAAGTAAATATTAAACGAAAGTATAGTCGATGTAATAAAACATATTAATCAAACGCAAAAATTAATTGGATTATTGATGTTTCCAATGTGCCTATGTAACATTGGAAACATTAAATATTTTTCACATGTGAACACGACAGCATTATATAAATTTAAAATAAATTGCATATTTAACTTTCTCGGTTGTGGTTTAACTACATAATAATAAAACTACTTCCATAAAATGCTAGTTTAAAAAAGAATCATCAAACTCCCAAAAAATAATCAAAATGATGTCTTTTTTTATGTTCGCGTTGTTTCGCTCAAGTCGCGTTACATGTCCATCGACGGACCAAGGCTTTTAGGCCTCTAAAATTAACAGATTTATTCTATAAGTTAATACTATCATATATATTCCAAGGACTGGTTCAACACTGGTTTTTTATTGATGTATAAATGAGATCAACTCATAATATTATAGAATTACATACATGGTATAATGAATAAAGAATTACGTTTTAAGAATTCAAAGATTAAAATGAAAAAACTAATGTAATTTTCGAAGATTTTACATATCAATACTTCTATACTAATATTATAAAAAGTAAATTTTTGTTTGTTTGTACTGAAACTACATGACCGATTTGAAAAATTATTTCACTGTTGGACATTTACACTACTTCATAAAAGGGTATATTAAAAAAGTATGTGTGGTGGTGTGTAAGTAAAAAATTATAACATTAAAATATTTGTTCAATGCCCGTGCGAAGCGGGAAAGTTTGCTAGCTTGAAATAAAAACATCAATAGGTAAATTTTTGGTGTAGTCAACCAGTGTTTCGTGCACTCGAATGCAGACGAGTTCACGCCCTGGTTCTAACGAAATATAATTTCAGTATTAGGAATTTTTTACCACTAATTAAGTAGTCGTCACCAATCCGGATTGGAACGGCGTGGTGGGTCTAAAATGTAGTAACCTATACGAGACCTAGCTGTGGGATATACGTAGATATATTGAAACACAATGAATATTCTTCTGTTGATAGGACTGCTAAATTTCACATGCTTATTTTAGTTTTATAACCTTGAAAATGTATCCGCATGTATATATTGAGGGCTTACAGAATTTTTGTAGGGTTATCTAATCTATTTTATCACAGCATTCTGCATAAGCGTACCAATTTTTTAATGTAGCATATAGATATAAAAACCAGCATTTTCCATCTATATTTAAGTTTTGGTATACTTACGACTCAATTATGCTATATACTCGTCAGCAGTTTTTAAATAAATAATCCGTTTATTATCACAAAGTACATAATTTACAATTAAAATAAGTAATAAAAAAAAAACCTTACAATTAAAAGAATACAAAAAAAGTACAATGTTAACTTTGTGCTAAAAGGCATCAAGACTCTGCATGTGCTCAGCAAGGCTTGCTAAGCGCTGATTTTCAGTCTGTCCCTATCAGATAACAAGTAGTACCAAAACATATAAATATTGTGGAAAAGTTGTAAAGAACTTAAAAAACTATAATTATGACATACATTAGTGGCAGCGCAAATGCAAAACTATTGCGTAAGTAAAAGAATACTAAAGAGAATAAAATATATTTTCAATGGTTTGTTGTTAAGGTCATATTATGTACTTAGTCGAGCTAATTTGGAATTTCATTAATATATCGCGGTACTTTTTTTTAAAAGTACTTTCAATTGTGCATTTCCTTAGTGGAGGAGGTAGACTATTCCAAATTTTGCTCGCTTTTATAGAAACATTTCTATAAAAGCGAGCAAAATTTGGAATCACATCGCTTTTTTAGTACCATTATATCCTATAACTAAAAGAAGAAGCGCTAAAAGTGGCGCCAATTGACTTATTTAGGTACCGGCGAGTCAGTCTTCGCATACAAAGTACTTCTATCCTGAACCCTGATTCTGCTACTTCACGAACAGCGAGAACCATGCGAGACGACATCGACAGAAAGAGGCAGACAGACAACAAATAAGCAATTTAAAATTGCCATTATACAATTTTTTAGTTAACTTTTAACACCTGTAAATCCTCTTTTCAGGATGAAGTGTTATGCTAAGTGTATTACCTATTATGTTATTAGAATCCGAAATGGACTAGGGACGATCGATGGGCCAGTGTAAATATCAGAATCAGGCTGGGCGTAACTATAATTTATTCTCTAGTAGTTAGGTATATCCGCGATATTATCTGATTTGTTTTAAATAGATAATTAATGGCGTATAGATTGCCTATGTACGGTTTATCAGTTTATAGTTTCGTAATAATTGCAAGTAGCTTAAGTGGTATACCGCATATATACGACTATCTCGTAATAGTAATTTTATATTATTCATCCAAATGAATAATATAAAACTTTTTTGAAGATAAGAAACTATGCAGGTATACCATGACAGCGGCATAGTTATCTTCATAAAAAAGTTAATTCAAGTCTTTTCTCTTTTTTTTCTTACTCTTTGTCTTTTTACAAAATATGTTATTATTAGACAAAGCAATACCGAAGTGGTTTATTCAAATATGTAAAAAAATATTTGTTATTGTAAAATTCTTATTAGCCATTGTTAAATTGTAAAGTCCTATGTATGGGAGGCATAATATACAAAAGTTAAGGTTATTATACAAAAAAAATCATATATAATTATTTAAACGAACAAAACAAATAAAGATTGTTATTGCAGTTGATACGGTTCAATAAGATAGCTGACATTACTAATAAAAAAACACAATTAAATTAACAAAAGAATCAGCGACATTTAAAATCACGGAAAATCCCATTAAAAATGTATTCTTGGTACCGAAAAGAAAGAAAGCCGTACACACCAACACAAACAGACACACAAACCACTGCACATAGACAAAGCGCTGAAGCGCGTTCGACCTCATTTATTTTTCAATATAGACAGAAGGCCGTACAGAGTCCGGTACTTACGTGAAATTCAGATACCCATCGGCGTCTCGAACGGGGCTTTGGCCAGGCGCCAGGCGCGGGGCAATGGGGCCCTGGATCAACGCCGCGGACACGCGGTATCGAGGAAGTAAGTCCGAGCGAACTGTCATCGCTCGCACGGAAACGGGCGGCGGCAAGGGACGCGCACTGTGCGCAGGCGCGCGGCGCCCGTTAACAGCCCTGCAGCCCCCTGCACGAGCCCACCCTTTAAATCGAACGTCATATCCCGACGACCCACCCGCCCGCCGCTGAAGCCACCCCGCAGACCCTAAAAAATGCATTGCGTAACGCTTCCACTGAATTCAGCCCCGATCAATTATACACCTGCGTCGCTAAGCCGATGCCTCGGATTGGAAATACGGTTCGATGATCAAGTTACTACGGTCTATATTAACTTGTAAGCCCGGGTATCCTAGTTACCTTACAAGATTTATTAAAAAACTCTCTCTGTCTGTATAACCATCTCATCCTTTAGAAACATTAATTTGTTTACTACAGTATATATTCTATTTAAAAAAAAAAAGTTTTTTTTAAGTAATTTAGCTAAACTATTAGTATTTATTTTACTTTTAATAATTTTCAAATCAAATTTATAAACAAAACTAAAGCACGTGATATAGGTTTTTAACGAGACATTTTCAAAGCAAAACATACTTTTAAATAAAAAACTTTGCAGCAGCCGAAACGTCGGGCCGAAGTTAAAAATCATTTTCAAATAAGTTTAACTAATATATCGCGTTTTAAACCGTTAAAGTGTTTTATTTAAATGTGTACTACTCGCGTAAGCTATAGACAGTATTCAAAACATACTTACGTAATAAAAAATGAAATTGAAAAAAATGACATTGCTAGGTTTCTTAAAATACTTTATGTCCTGATGTTTACATATTTAAGGCTGGCAGTTTGTAAAGATTTTGGTCTCTGTGGTCAGCTTATTGCGTTCAGCGAAATACACCTATTTCATAAAAATGTTTACCAGTTTCGAGAACACCCTTTTCTAATCAGGTCAGACATTTCGAACTAATGCAGCCGGTGTGCTCCTTTCCGAAATAGATATTCGATAAATAGGTTGAATGTTGCGTTTTTACATAAATTCAGTTTCTTTAAATTGTTCGCCGAAGTTTAGGATTATTTTTATTCAAGCTAATGTTTAAATAAGAAAAATTAATATACAATATTTATTTAGATTAAAAGATGAACGATGCCACAGGTAGGACTCGAACCGCAGTTTATTAATTTATAAGCTATGTCATAACATGTAAAAATATTTATGTCTCAAGGAACAATAAGTCATGAAATAGTGAATCTTTAAAACATAAATTTTGTGTTTCAATTAAAATAAATCGTATTTTTTTGTTATTTCGAGTCATCAGATCGATAAAATCATAGTAGGGGATGGTAGAGATCTCGAAGAATACCCAAAACTGCAATAATACAGAGAATCTAAAATATTTGCTTTTAATTTTCATAAAATAGTTATGCTTTACAGATGGTTTTATTACGAGCGCACTAAATCAAAATGCCGTCAAAGAATGCATCTGTGAAACATCTACGAAAATAGTACAAGAAAAATTGGGTCGACGTCTAGAAACAAAAAGTAATTTGGCAATGGCAAAGTATGTATTAAACTTAAAGAACTAAAATATCACTTATTGAAACATTTTTCATTATAAAAAAAAACTCGAAATGTAGTCAATTTATTTTTAACTATCAAAAAAGTTACAAAAAATATATCATATGTCTCTTTTAGAATTGTTAAAAGGGTTTTATTTATAGAACAAAACTAAAAATATTATAAATGTTTTAGAAACACACGAAGTGAAACTCACCTAAAAATGCTGACTGCAGCATTTTTACGAAATTCGTTAAATCTTTAATTAAACATCGCATTAAATAAACAAAAAACTAGTAATCAATCTAATTCAATATAATTTGAATAAGGAAGGATAAGGTCACTAAGGCCACAGATAAAAAATAGCGAATTTACTACGTCATAGACAATATTAAACCTATTCGTTAAAGCCATTAAAATCAGATAAAAAAGCCGAATGCCTCCTCATTATAAGTACATTTTTTTGTGCACACTATTTACCTCCTAAAGTAAAAATGAAACAATTATAAATATTAATTTAAATTATTATTGTTAGAACTTGAAGGATAAACGGCCTATAAATTCTTGTTATTATCTATAATTCTGCGTGCAGTGTACAAAACGGCGCGCGGGGGGCGGCGCGGTGTGCGGGGGGAGAGGGCGCTAGTGCGCAAATACACGATGCCTGCATACAATGACTGCCAAAGATCGCATCCAGGGGACCTCGCGAGTGCGGCACGTGTAAGCACAGGGACGAATCCAAACCGCACTTATATCTATTGCACTGCTCTTTGATACGACCCACTCAATTCGAAACTATCCACTTTTATTGATATCCTTTTCATCCAACACTACACACATACTTCCATATCACTTATGTTCAAATAGTTTAATTATACTCTAAAATATCATATAGTTATTCAAATAACGTTCTTAAGAAACGAAATCATATAAGAGTATTTCCAATACGCCCCTGCAATCGCATTGTATGATAACGTCATTCACGCACACACGCACAAGTTAGCCGAAATTCGTGGATGTATTTTTCTAGCCCGCGCGAGTGTGTGCGTTCGCAGCGCTGATGCCGATCGCGACAGATATAGGGAAGTAGAAGTGGTATGAGGGAGATAAAAATAGCATTATATAACGCATTATTTTTATAATTAACAAGCAAAAATTGGCCGCTCGACCCTGGAAGCGGACAGCGACCTTAGCGCACGAAATTTGCACAGATCAAATGTGGGCGACCTCGAACGGATAGTTGCACGAGGCAAACGCACACATGCAAGAGGGAAAATTCGCGACTTCCGTCACACATACCACACCTAGAACATGCAGCGAAACTAAGACGTATTTTAGCTTCTTCGAACCATGTAAAAAATAAGACTTATTACGCAGTACAATATAATAAAATTAAAAAAACACCAATATACATATAAAACACTTTAACCATTTAAAACGCGATATATTAAACCCCCCGGGGAGTCTCACGGGAGCCACAAGCGGGCCGTAGTTAAAATGATTTTCAAATAACTAATATACATCGCGTTTTGAACCGTTAAAGTGTTTATTTAAATGCGTACTACCTACTCGCGTAAACTACAAACAGTATTTACAAGCACCAATGTCAAAAGATTGGAAACCTGAAAATTATATCTATTTCTATATCACTATAAAAAAACAAAGCTTTGTAATCGGATATTGCAATATACATTTCAATAAAGTAAGTAAAGCAAAGTGGAGACCTAGTAATGAAAGTATTTTTCAGTATACGGAAACAACATAGCTAGTTGATAGTTTTATATTCTGCGGCGCAATTGAAAAGCCTGACCAAATTGCAAACTATAGTAACTATGTTTCTTGAAAATATTACCATACCATTCATAGAAGTCTAATTGTAATTTTGTATAGATACAGAACATATATCGTCAATCGCAACCGACCGACCAGGGACGCATTTCGAATATTTAAAACTGCTCCATCCGCATTACGCCTATTCTTTTAAATCTATACTAATTTTATAAAGCTGAAGAGATTGTTAGAACGCGCTAGTCTGAGGAAATCTTTTTGTGTTGGATAGACGATTCATCGAGGAAGGCTTTAGCTTAAAACACCAAGCTGAACGACCAATAGGAGCGTAGAAACAGTGGAAAACGTGGAAAAACGAAAAAAAGTCATATATTAACTTAGAGGATTTCTTTATTACTTCTTATCGAAATTTTATGCCACATACAGGGCACATTCTTTATGTTTCAGGCTTCCACAATTAGCGGTTTAAGCTGTGTTGAAAATCACACTTATCGGAGTGACAATCGTCAATAAAGTCGAAATTAAACAAGTTCGATTATAAAGAAGCTACTGAGCATAAAAAAATCAATATCATATGCGCATTACGCATGTATCTTAATATTCGTTAATAATTGAATATTTTTGCTCATATACATATGCGTAAAAAAACAGTATTAAACTTAAATAAGTAGGTAACTTAAAATGATATATAAAATAACGATAATTTAAAATATAGACAAATGCAGAAGCTCACAATTAATCGACCTAGTTATACGTGTACAATTAATAATAAAATTTAATAAACATTACATATTTTGTTTCCGTTTATAATAGCTATGTAGCTTTGTCTGTAACTGTGAGTAAATTTAGTTTCAATTACCAAAACAAAGTATGTCGTTCTTCTATTCTAGTATTACTAGAATTTTATATATTTACATAAGCCTTTCTTAGAGATTGTTAATCAATAGCTATAAAAAACTATGAACAACAATAAACGAACACAGTAAGTACTTGTTCTTCGCCCAAAACTAAACGATATGTTATGAACTTGGAATGTGTCCGTGAACCTACCACCTCCGAAGTAGATGACGCTTAGCACACGAAGATATAGAGCGCTCTAGATGGCCTGGCTCCAGTGAAACTATGATGTTATTTACAATAGTTATTAACCATGACGTCATTGTCGGTAAACAAATTCTGTTGTGGACATTTTTTTAGATTACTTAAAGAGAAATCATTCGTTTATACATATTTCTTGGGTTTGGGTAACATTTTCGAAGCGCAAGAACGGACCTAATGTTAAATAATGCTTCGTTTTTTTCCACATTTCCCACGGATGCTTGTTACCACAGCGCGGTATTTTCCCCTATAACCTTCCTCTATCAATGTTCTAACGAACACAAAAATAATATTTCAATTAGTACGAACGCTTACTTCCTGAGATTAACGCGTTCAAACAGACAAACTTCAGTATATAAAAATAGTATAGAACAGGAAGCAGAGACGCAGCGATCAAAGCATTCTTCTCATATATTGCAGAAAAAATTGTCATATTACAATCTCGCCTATTTTTTATGAGTTTGTTGTGATATTATTCCTAGATAAAATACTTGTGTTCATGGTTACTATACCGCGCTCTATCGTACCTCCCATAAGGTGACGTCATGTAACCGACCAATTGCATAATATTAACAACAGTTCCTATTCAACACCCACTTAAGATATTTGACTCTTTAATGCTATTTAATTACGTGTACAAAACAACACTACTATTTAAAAGTTATTACATATCGTGTCAGTTTTAATATCAATTATAATATTTTAATAAATTAAGAATCTACTTAGCTTATAGCAAAAGCGTCATAGTGTTGCTCTAACCAATTGAGCTACCGTGTTTCGGTTAGAGCAGCAACACGGAACGCTGTGGACACCGGTTCAAGTCCTGCACATGTCGTGAATTGATTTCAATCTAAATTGATTTTTTATTTATATAATGCTATGATGTACAATATCATGTGAAAAATGCTTAAGTTTACAAAATCAAATATTACATTTTCATGTTTAATAACAAAAAGGACCCATATTGTGGTTTCTTTGGCATTTGGCATTGGAAAAATAAAAAAAAAAAATTTTTTTTTTTTATTTATGACTTTTTATCTGTACAAGATGAACTTCCTGCCCGAGTCGAAAATTTTTTTCAATTTATTTTCGATTTTTAAATTATATAGTGCCTTATTGCAATAACATTAAAAGTTAATAAAGTTTTCAAGATGAACTTGTCCAGAATTTCTTTATTCTGATTATCCAATTAAAGCCTAGAATTTTCAAGCGTCGGCTCCAACATCCTCTAAAGTCTAAAACATATTTACGAACATTCTGGACATCGATTCCGGGTTTCGAACCCACGAACATTGGTTCGCATTTTCTATTATTGGACTTACGAGCCTGTTAAAACGCCGGCTATGTGAACAATGTTGTATCTCGCATAAACGAAAGAATCTAGAAGACAGCCTAAAAATAGACCAATTTTGAAACTACATATGTAGTTGCCAAACATCATAACCAAAACAATTTACAATATACAGAAAGGAATTTCTAGTTTAAAAATTATTTTTATATCGTATATATAATTATTTAGTATTATTGTATTGCTTACTGTTGAATTTGATTTCAACTTTAATATCGAGATATATTTTTTTGTGTGTAAATAGAAATAAAATAAAAAGTTTTCCACAACCACTTTAAATACTAAATTCTATATAATATTATAGAGTAAAGGGTAAATTTAGTATTTATTTAAATAAAATACGTGAACGGTTCAAAATATATACTTGTTAAACTTATTTGAAAATTATTTTAACTACGGCCCGAAACATCGGGCTGTATGTATACTACTCGCGTAAACTACAGACAGTATTAAGTATAATTGTTGTTACTTTAATATCGAAAAATTTAATTTACGCATATTTTTAACAGTACATTTTATATCAATGTAATAAGAAGTAAAAACTTTTTATATCGAACTAAGTGTCTCATTAAATAAATATTACGTAGAAAATGGATTCGTTACATAAAACAACTCGATACAACGCGGCGGTCACGGCTCTCGGAGGTCGTACATCACTCAGTAGTCACATTTACGGGCTTATTCTGAATGCCTCTATAGCTTTTTTGTTCTTGTGTACTTGTATCTTAAAAGATATTTTTTACAAAAACACATTGCCATAGAAACTGTTTTTAGGATTAATTATTATAAATAATAAATTACAATTTATTTATCAATTCCTTGAAAATTATATTCGTTCTTTTTATTCGACAGTCTATGTTTTTTTTTGAATACTTGCACACACTCTTGTACATTATTATTTAGTATGTATATTTTAATATAAAGTCTAAAATACTGAGCCGATATTAAATAATAAAGCTTGTGGTAACGATTCCTAATATTGCCGTGAGTATAGCTAGATACTGTCTGTAATTTACGCGAGTAGTAGGTACACATTTAAATAAAACACTTTAATGGTTTAAAACGCAATATATATTAGTTAAACTTATTTGAAAATGATTTCAACTACGGTTTGACGTTTCGGGTGCCGCAAAGCATCCAATACATCCATCAAAAGCGGATAAACATCGCGTTTTAAACCGTTAAAGTGTTTTGTTTAAAAATATGTTACTAGGCTATGTCCTATCCTATAATTTAAGACGTATAATATGGACTTCAAATATGGAAATGAATGTTTAAAATAAATGTTTATTTTGTATTCATTTCTATTCGGCTTTTTTTAAATGTATATTCTACCGCGAAATATTCTAAAGTGAAGTACGCTAGCTACAGAATACGACTCTATAGAAGTAGCAAGTAGGTGAGCCCTTTCGAGTAACGAGGAAGTAATGAGAGCACGTTTTTTATCTGTTATGAATTTTGATAACGCCCGTTCTAGGAAGTGATAATGGATTATAGAAAAATAAAATGAAGTTGTAGGAATAAATTCATGAATTGTCTACGTGAATATAATACATCATATAAAAATCTTTATAGGATCTGATAAGAAATACATAGATAACCCTTCATCGTTCATACTTACGTATCACTTTAAAAAAAGTATTTTTTTTTGATTTTTTATTGTCAATGTTTGAATCGAATTTCTGGGGCTTTGTCAGGCATAAGGTAAACATATTTCAATGTTTATTACACTAATCTATGCTCTGCCCGACCGAAACTGTTTGTAGCATTTCTCAAAGTTGCAACTGGTGCGGTTTTTTAAACTTTAATTTTTTTTTTGTTAAAGAATAAGAAGCCTTACATGTGCAACGCCTTTGTTTTACTCTACCTTATATTCCTTGAAAACCCGTACAAAGATTGTTTCGTTAACTGCGTTCTTCTTGTGTTCAGAAAAAGGTTTTAAATTTATTTAAAGTCAAGTTACAATTCATTTATTCAAGTAGCTAACTAGGAACACTAATGAATGTCACACAAGTTAAAAACTAAAGACTCTAGATACACTGTCAACCTATTTTGGATTTGGTATTCGAAAAATTAACAGACTAAAACGCGATTAAACTTCACGCCTTTTCACCAAAGGATGGTGGTTCGCGACCCGGACAGAATTTCGATATTCCTACCATCTAAACATACATAGGTACATTCAAATCGAGACATATTCTGCCTTCCAAATTCTGCCAGCCAGCTTTCAAAGGGCAAACAGAATTCAATCAAGGAATATCTACAATTGCTGAAATAATCACTTTTAAACGATCTACAATCAATAGGCTGCCAAATTGAGAGCTAACGTTGTCATAGCAACCATCCCTTTGTGGCATGTTTTCGCCTAGTCTTCCCTCCTCTTTGTGGTTTACATCTCTTAGCATAGAGCTTTCATTTGAATATCTGGGATTATAGCACATTAGTATAAAATCTAGAAACTAGTGCTTAAGTGGGGTAAAGATCCATTATGTCATTGTAAACGGCTGGCTCTCTATGGCTTAAAGGTTAAACGTCTGTAGTTTACACAAACAGTACACATTTAACGGTTTAAAATGCAAAACATATTAATTAACTTATTTATAATTTATTTTATATACGACCCGACGTTTTGGATGCTTTGCGAAACAAATGATAGCGTAGCAGAACTGAAACGTGGGACCGTAGTAAAAATAAATTGCAAATAAGTTAACTTAATTTATTTCTTGTTTTATACGGTTAAGCGCCTTACATTCATTAAGACTACATAAATTCCAATATCGTAAAATATTGTATCGAGCGGGAACAAAATATAATCTGAACAAATACTTTTCTAATGTAGTAATATTTTTTTAAATAAGGAAATCGCCCCCCCCCCCCCATTGATTGTTGAAGTTCTAACTACTTCGGTATCTACAGGAGATAAAACACACAAAATCTACTCATCAGTACTTAGTTCATTACGACACAAACTGTATGTGTGTATTAGTAGTAGAAGGTATAGATACGATCTAGTAAATAATATACTAAATTATTATTTTCGTATAAGCATAATAGTTGGAAAAGGGCCGGGGTATGGGAGCGGGTTTGAGGCCCGTCAACACAAATAGCTAGCTGCGACTTGATGTTTAGCACCACCCGCTAGGGGACGGATTGAAAAATATAAATTTTTGTTTCTTTATTTGGCGCAAATATTTTTTCACTTTCAGGACAGGAGAGGTCAAACAAGCTTGGGGTTTACTCCATGGTGAAATGCCCCACCCTATAATCAAATTAAGATTTTTTCCTTTTTTTTTAACTGTTGATGTAAATGAATAAAGCACGTCCACGTCGGGTAATAATGACGTGAGGAGTGTGGTAAATCGTACTACAACCTCCTCGGAGACAATAGTCGACCAGAACCACTAAACACACCACCAGCCCGCCACAGTGCTTTCGAGGGGGCCTGGGAACACGTTTGTACGTCTCCAAAGCTCCAAGCACCAATGTCCATTTTAAACAAGACGAATACAAAATTTGGGAAGATCTAGAAGGTTTAAAGTAAGACAGAGGGAGATTGGGGTATTAGATTCACTCCCTCTTACTTTTTTAGCCGCCTCCTCCTGCAGCATCATTCGCTAGCAGAAGATGGTTATTACTGCAGCTTATAACCATATATACATTTACCTGAACCTTTGAACTCGACTACCTTTGTAAAAAACTTCATATGAATTCTTATTTTTCAATTAGTGTAATTAGTTTTGGTTTTACAAAGCTGAACGAGATAGCTTTAATTTGGACTGACAAAATCAATAAGGCCTAAGAAACGGCAGAATGACCTGGATTTAGAGATTTCGGTTCGATTGAGATAGATTGGAAGGAGTTGGAGTATAAGCGTCGAACGTTGCAGGGATTGGGGTGTGGGGTGGCATCACTATCGCAACGAGGCTCGCCCACGCAATTACCATGGCTACGCTCAGAATGCGGCCCTGGGTGGCCTTGCAATGGAGTGGGGAGGGCATTACCCCCGTCTACTTGCAAGTCGCTAGCTGTTGCCGGTTGCCAAAATTCTAGCGATGTTTCCGCGGTAATGTGCGTTTTAATTTCAGCTACTGGAATAAGAATATGACAAATCGACGATTGTTGCTATTATATCCTCCTATATGCGATAAAGAATTATATATTTACTGGCTGATTCGGCCAACGTTGGTATGTTTGCAAGATTAATCATATTATGTTGGATCATAGATAATTGGTTTTAATGCATTAATTTCAGCCAAATTCGATTACCATAAAAACGGTTCTTGCTAGTTAATCTTTAAAGATAGACATATACGGTCTATAGTTTACGCGAGTAGTACACATTTAAATAAAACCTTTAACGGTTTAAAACGCGATATATTAGTTAAACTTATTTGAAAATAATTTTTAACTTTAGCCCGACGTTTCGGATGCTTTGCAGCAGTCGTGGTCACGGGTGACCCGGGGTCACACACGGGACAATACATCGCGTTTTAAACCGTTAAAGTGTTTTTTTTAAATAGACATATACGGCCGCGGATTTTTTTATGATAAAGAGTAAAAATAGTCTTTTATACATATTAATTGGTTTCTTTAACAGTTTTCGAAGGGCACGCAACGAAAGCTCTCAAAGATTTGTCACAGTGTGCTATTATACAACCTAAAGCCTTCTTCGATAAATGGTCCAGTAGTCCTGAGATTAGCGCGTTAAAACAAACAAACGTACAAAGTCTTTGGCATTACAATATTATTATAGATAATATTGCAAAATATGTAACACATGAAACATTTAAACGCACTTGAAGGCCTATTTTAAATGTCGTTATGGATTCAGGTCCCAGCGATAATATAATTTTTATTAAGAAATCCCTGAAAATTGATCTTTAAATGATTAAAATCATAAAACATAAAGCCTTAACTTGTCAAAATGTTGTAAGATTATTTGTATATAAAAATTCCCGTACCTTACCTACTTTTCATGACAAAATTCTTTTATTCAATCTATTTTTCTAGTAGCGAAGGTAGTATCAAATTTGCCGTCTACATATTAAACCATGTTTATATCTAAGCTTTAAATATGTACATCGAAAAAATTCTAGCTTCGAGAACACAAAATCCTCTCGCCATGTGTTAGCAACCCAAGGCCGCTGATATTTGCAAACACTGTATCTACTTATCTAACTAAATAAATAAAAAAAAAACATACTTTTAAACGTAAATACCAAATTGTACGTATTTTTAGATATTAATTCTTATTTAGTAGTTAGTTACTTTGTGAGTATTGACGATTGTGGTGACGGTGTATGATTAGTGGTACTCAATAAATAAAACACTATCGATTAACAAATATACGCACACTATTGTACGACTGCTTTATAGCATTAAAACACCTAATGTTGAATTTTTTAACCTGCAGATACATACAAAATAAACCGAGTTTATCAAATAAAATTTTAGAAACATCATCTCAATATACAAGCTGTATTATCTTTTTGTCATGTTGTACAAGACTGTAGTTAAAGAAATACTTATATTATATACAGTTTTCCTGTTACGATATTATATTATTGGTTTATCGAAGTTTTCCCAATACCAACATTTACGTAAAAGCTTAAAATTTTAATCCGACATCTACTTTGTTTCATCTATGTTTCCATTTAAAAATAATTGTGTCATCAAATAAATGCACTATTATTTAAATGTCTGTTTCTATGACTGACTTGTTTTATTTTAGAAAGAAAGAGGCTCAATTAAATCCACAAACATTTTTTAACATTTATATGCACAGACCATAAAATTATTAAAGTTATTATGCTTCTATAATATGGCCGATAATATACGAAGTTTAGATGACCAAAAGACCTACAGTAATCCTGGGAAACCTTACAAAGTAACCCTACAAGTAATTTAAAAATAACCTTTAATACAATGATATATAGTCTATAACAGCTTGAACAACATTCTATGATAGAATAAGGCCGCACTTAGCACTAGCAAATTAAAACGACTTAATATACTGTGAATGCATTACATTGCTCTTTTAAAGTTTAGTTATTCACGCAATACGGTATTCAAAAAAGCAATGTATGGTGATTTAGCGTAAAAGCTTTTAGGAACATGGAGTTGCGTGTGACTAAGTTAGTGCGTGCTTCTGGGTAGTTTTCTTGATGTAGACTAGCCGGCCTCGTTTTAGAACTTATGAGGCTATAAGTTATTCCGCCCTGCATATAGAATTCACACATATATAACTGAAACCGAGTTTCCAAATAGCTGAATTATATTTTACGATTCAATGTAAATTCAAACTGTGCAGTACGTATTCTTTATATGGTATATAATATGGGTGGCTATGAAAATAGTTACATGAGTAGTTTTGCTCTAGACTCCAAAATGCCTATACAAAAAAATTGCGTCACCAACTATCTAAACAATGCCTCTTTTGTATCGCTTTTCCGTCCCAGACGGATAGGTGATTTTTCCTTAGTAACTTATTGTTACAAATTGAAATGCTCGGAAAGCCCTCCCTCGGACCTCGGGTGGTGCCCGGGAGACGACGTCTGTCCATTCAGGACCAAAACACGTGTACCCCGACAAGTTGAAGGTCGTTTCATCGCTAAACGCTACATTTACCAAATTATTTGAATTTAATAACGAATTTCGAAATTCAAAGGCTTCTGTTTTGTTATTATGTAGGCGTAAAGCCGGGCACCTAAATGTTGTTGAACATTTTCAGGACTGACACAGGTGAGTTGAAATAAAAATGTTTCGAAATAAGAACCCTTCGACCTATTTCGAACAAGGTACTCACACAAAAGATGCCCTCAATCTCTCGTACAAAGGACCTCAATCCCAATGTTATCGTTACATGCAAGAATATTTTATAGGCATTTATATTTTTTTCAAATTAAGACATCAAGGTCGACGGCTTCTCGAAGTTGCAGGTCTATGGGAAGTACATGAAATCAGGTTATATACTTTACGATTGAAAAGATTCGATTTTTTTCTCGTAATCCGAAGGTCCGTCGTTTTTATGCTAATTGTGAGTATTAATTTTTTTCATATGATTGCGCAACGACAAATATATTTTTAATAATTTAAAGTTCGATTTTGAAGTTTGAGTTTATGCTGGAAGAATCGCGATGACCTAATTGTGCCGGGCTTTAAGTGCTGGACCCTTTAAGAATAAGTGTGAAGCGTCTAGACGACCCGCAATTTATTAAGGTCTATGGCCTTGAACTTCTTAAACCAATGATCTTCCATTCAGACCTAAAATATAATTTAAAAACAAAATAATACAGAAATGCGGAAGGTAATAAGAAGTTATAGTTGTTAAATGAACAACAACAGCTAATCATCATACAGACGAGTCGTTACAGACACGACTTCGTCGAGGGGCAAACGAGCAGCCCGGGCAATTATCAAGAGAAGTTCAGTTAGTTCCTAAACAAAAACTGAAATAAACAAGGTCGAAGTATCAGCGCCGCCGCCATGAGGAGCGACGTCCTTGAATTCGGGGGGTTCTTACAAATTGGGTTATTACGGTGGGGTGTGGAATGAGACGGGCCTCGTGAGTTTCGGAGACCTTTTGGGCTCTCTGCGAAGGTTGGAGAGGGAGGGAAAGTGTGGGCGTACCGCTGCGCCACCCACACCACGCCTCTGAGGAACTCCCAGACTTGTGTTCCGGCGCCGATCATTATAATTACTCGCCAAGGTAAGTCGGGAGCAGCTAATCCAGCCGATGCCCGAAGCATCCGCCGGGAACTGATACCAATACTGACGACTAAAGCCTCCAATGTCGATGTCAATTACAAATCTAATTAAAAGCTTCTGTGATGTGAACTTAAGAGAAACAGATACGGGAAAATACTAATTTACTTTTCAGTATTGTGTGTAATTTAATATTAAATTTTTTGACAAAAACGTTTCGACTTTTAATCATAACACATACTATAAGTAAACAAAAATATAATGCTAAAATATAAAATAAATCCCGGTTCTCCCCTTAAGGCATGGGGCGAAAATAATTAGTAGTTAATAAATCCGACTTCTGTACCCTTCAACTTAAACGATGCTTTTTCAGGATTCAAACTATAGGCCTTGCGCTTAACGCAGTACTAGTAGTAGGAATTTAAAGATAATTGCAGTCAAATTATTATTATTTAAGTTATAAATATATCTTTTGTAGTTTGAATTTGACAAATAGTTTTGTTTTTATCATGTTGTATTTAAAGAATTGATGACAGTCATAATATCTAAGTTTTGTATAGCCCTCGTGACCATGTTCAAATGTTACTGACACGTTAGGTTGTAGTTAAAAATTGAATAGTAATATATATCGCATTTAAAACAGTTAACCGCGATTGATTGAATGATTTTTCCACATTTCCCTCCGTTTTTTCCCCTTCTACTGGTCGCAGTTTGATATTTTTTAGCCTTCTACAGTAATTCCTTTAACCAAATAATTTTTCAATTCGAACCAGTACTTCCTGAGACTAGCATGTTTAAACAAACAAACGAACAAACTTGGCGGCTTTATAATATTAGTATAGATAATTACTCGTGCTTACTAATTTAGGAACAGTAATAAAATGGCATGGTAATATGAAAATCTTGGATCCGAGTGGGTTTCTTATCAATTTATTGAGGCCCAAGGGTTCAATGAATTGGATGTTAATGTCTACATTCCGATAGTAGGTACTCGGTGACGTAACACGCGACCAAACAGAGGCCGAAATGCGCATTAGCCGCCTAGCAACAGAGTGCGTTTAAATTAGGCCTAGTTCACATTAATCGAGGTAAAGCTTGTGTTACACTATAAGGCGTTGTCTGTGAAACTACAGACAATACACACATTAATGTCATAGTAAACAGACGAATAGAATACATTAAAATAAGTTTAAGAGATTAAATAAAACACTTTAACGGTTTAAAACGTGATATATTATATAGTTTTATATATATTATATAGTTTTAAAGTGTTTAATTTAAATATGTACTACTCGCGGAAAACTGCAGACAGTATTCAGTTTCAACGGTTTAAAACGCGGCTGATGTTAAAAATAAAAAATAGTTTTCCATTATATTACTTTCTAAAATGTTAAAGAGTATTTTATTAAAATAACGCTTCTAATTAATCACAAAGAAATAAAGTCTGTGTGGGTTTATAAGGTCTTTATAATTACCACTTTCATACATTTAGTTTTTGAGAGGCCCCCAAAAATTAGGGTCAAAAGGAAGAAAATAAAAACAACCATTTATTCAAAAGTTATTCTTTTCATAGAACGGATGGTTTCACAGAATTTTTCAGGCTTCATTGGGCTTTTGTGTCAGTAATCACGAATAACTCACGAGGCAGGAAAAATCATGAAAATTACCTTCAATTTGAAAATCAGTTAGATAAAACCAAATGCATTGAATTATTGAATACATAGATATGTATATTTAATTTACTTTCCACCATACGACCTATATTATAACAATTTAACGTTTAGTTGGAAATATTTATAATACTTTTAAATAAACAATTAATTCTGTACGTATGTCATAAATAACTTTTATTTTTTAGAGATTTTTACTGCTATCTTTCCAGAAAAAAAATAATCTTTTATAGTGTATGAAATTACTTCTTATTTTGTATTGTATTCGTTTGTTTCTTCGCTGCAACCTATTCTTACTTTGTGTAAACTTATTGATTATATTTAAAAGCATCTCTGTTGTATGAAGATGTCTTTAGCGAAATAGTTGTCGGATTGACGTTTGCAATCAGTACAAAAACTATTTTTACATACAAAAAGCTTTGTCGAAGTTCAATCAACCAAACATTGCATTCTTTGTCTGCTATTTCTGATCTATGATTCAGTGATCTCAGATACATTGCCCGGCCAATAAGTAGCAGCGGTGAGTAGTTCCTCGGATAGATTTATTCTGTGACCGATTATCTTATAATACACGTGCAGGACTGTCGCAAATTCTGCTCCAAAAACCTGTTAGCGTTGGCGATAACTTATAAAATGGCTTCCTCCATCAATGCGTTGTTGGAAACTATTATATTAAATACTGTCTAGTTTACGCGAGTAGTACACATTTAAATAAAACACTTTAACGGTTTAAAACGCGATATATTAGTGAAACTTATTTGAAAATGATTTTTAACTTCGGCCCGACGTTTCCGATGCTTTGCAGCAGCCGTGGTCACGGGGAGACTGTTATATTTACATAAACATGTGCACGTACTTCTCAAAAGTAAAAACTTTGTATGAGTACTTGTTTGCTATTGTTTTATTCATAAAGTTGCATCTTTATAAGATTAAACTCATTAAATAAATTTTAAGTTTTTCATCTTTGGGGTGTTAACGATTTTTGTTGTGTTCGAATTTATTGCACGTTTCCTCTAAGTCTTCTTGACTTTTACTCATTTATTGTCAATTTGTTTTCCTTTCCTTACCCAAAAGTTGCCTGTTAGAAATCGTCATAGGCGATAAGGCCGCAATTGACTCTTTAATGTAAATAATTAATTAATACTATATTTTTACTTTATTTGTTTGTGCAAATAACTGTTTTATTTATTACTTTAAGAAACAATTAGCAAAATTTTGCTTAAAACTATGTTTGGCAAGTCCGATCTCTGTTTAATACATGGTACAAAAATAAACTAGAGTTCGTTACCCGATGAACCAAACCCGACAGTTATAATCGTGTAAATATTGTGAACAGAATTATTAATCGTTAGATGCTACGAAATGCTACATTGCACATTGCACTGCGTAGCGATGCAGCTACACTGTCTACGAACGTAGATGCTCTACGAAATTGCATGTGCAAATATTTTGCATCGATTGTTCATCTTAATTTATCATTGCTTATTAAAAATAACAAGTCATATTACTTAAAGATGCTATGGTTACTTAAACTAATACGCTTAAACCATTTCAATAATACAATTTAACGGTTTAAAACGCGATATATATTCATTAAACATATTTGACAATTATTTTAACTACGGACGACGTTTCCGCTGATTTCCAATAAACGTGGTCACAGGAAGACCACGGGGAGGATTGTACTCGCGTAAATTACAGTCGGTGATCGGTGATTCAAGCCCACTAACCCACCATGCTGCTCCACTGTGGGTTGTCAGATTATAATGGTTTCTACCCCTTACTTAATGCGAATGTCCAGGACCGACTGCTTAACGCGCTTTTCGAGACCCGGGTGTGATGACTCGGTAAGCCATCCATCTTCTCCACTAGTACTCACTAGAAAAATTACCTCTCTGACACACTTTTTTTATAATAATTCTAAAATCTAAGACTATGATTTGCGTGACCCAGGAATCAAATCCGGGACACCATGATCTGCGGCGCTGTGCACTTACCACTAAACCAACGAGTATCAAATGTAGGAAGCTATTCACAAAATTCTAACGTTATAAAACTTTGTCGTATTATATTTCAATTTAACAGTCACAAAAAATATGCACAGCAGATGTCTAGATGTCAACGACATTATAATTAGCGAAGTTATTATGACGCGTAAAATTGTGTACGCATTGAAATAACATAAACGGGGGCACACATAAATAAAATAGTTTTCCATCTTTAAAAATATATAGCATCGATCATATTAAAAAATCACAGTTCACATTGTAAAGAGCAGGGTTACAATTAAAAACGTCTAACACAAAAATACTGTCTGTAGTTTACGCGAGTAGTACAGATTTAAATAAAACACGTTAACGGTTTAAATCGCGATATATATTAGTAACACTTATTTGAAAATTATTTTAAAAACGTTAGGCCGCAGTTAAAATAATTTTTAAATCGAGTTTTAAACCGTTAAAGTGTTTTTTTAAACGTCTAAGATAACTAATTAAAATGTATTATTAGAACAATCCTATCTCATACATAGAAACACTTCGCTTATTTATGACCAGCGATTCTTGAAGTAGGTTAGACCTAGAGTAGAAGGAATAAATACAACCTCAACAATAACAATATATTCCAGTTCTTTCGGCCACAACTTACTTCTTATAATACCTAACTAGTTTCAAACTCTAAAAATAAACAGTTTTAGTATTCGTGCCAATTTTTACGCAATTAATAACAATTGAACATTACTAATTAAATTTGATATCGTTATAAACTATAGATGATTTAAAGAATAGTGTATACACGAATTATAACAATATATTCTGTCTTTTGACGAAGGACTGTCTGTCAACTGTCTTTCATCTCTTTGTCTATGTAACAAATTTACTTTCACATTCGTCTGAAGATTGTTGAAACTTAGAGATAATATTTGGGATTCCTTATTTATAAACCTTTGAACAATTCCGAACAGATCAAATCAATACGTAATAAGTAAAATAAAATATATATACGACGCTATAACTACAAGAAAATATTAGATTTTTCGAAACGTAAGCTCGTGTAAAATTCTCGAAGGGTATTCTAATCCGTCCTCATGATGTTATGGTAGGTACTACAAAGGTGTCGCGTCCACGATGGCACCGGTTTTAAACTGGTTTTTTGTCCTTGGTAGGCAAGGTTTCCGCATGTTGCCCCGACGCACAAATGTCGTGGTTGTTTCATCTAATATATTTTATATAAAAAGCATAATTTCTGTAACATAGTTTAAAATACGCAAACGAAATTGATATTGAAGATAACTGTTATTTATTTATGACAACCTCAATTGTCCTTATGTTGTTAAAGTACAAACACAGATAAGTCACAGAACATAAAATATATAGATGTTGAATTACAAAGCGAACCGTAGGTAACTTTGTCAAGTAGGTTTACTCCGGCTAACATATTAACATGGCCACCCAGGCTTTTTTAAAGATATGACTTGAATAGTTTATTAAATATATAAAAGCGCATATTAGTAAGTTAATACATATTTAATAAAAATAAGGGGTCTTAGAGCAGGGGACTAATTAAACAAGTACTAAGCTCCAAATGTAACTTATAGTTAAAAAAATATATATTGGAAAAAATCAGTTCAATCTAATTGCTTAGTGACTGTAACTGAATATTATAATCTACATACATCATACTTACCACCTGTCTAATACAAGAAATTGGTTCTCAAATTAACATTGCAATGCTTCCAGAAAAGTAACTATTCGGTATTTCAGTATTTTTGACTATTCCTCATTAGCTGTGAAGTCGTAATCCCCTATTTTCAAAATTGGCATGACTCTTGTAAGTACGTAAAAGTACCAAACGCAAAGTAGGTATTGAACTAGCAGACGACCTGATAATGACAGGTGTCTGTGAAGCGAAAATCTTTGCCAAATTACACAAAACCCCCATTCAATTTGGATTCGCTCCAACCGAAAATCAAATAGGAAAATTCTTTAACATAAAATATGCAATTCTTGTATCAGCCATAATATTTGAAGGCCGCGTTTCATTAGAGTCTAATCAGCTGTTGGCAAGTAACAAAACTTAATTTTCCTTTATATTATGTTATGTGTTTAAGCATAGTTGCAAAACTAGCAGAAACGGACATCACATGCAAGCAATATGTGTCAGCGGCATGCAATAATAAATTCATTGTGTAATGGGCAAGACACGTTTTAAATTAGGACGCCCTCCCTAAAGTGCCTCACGCATCGCATATCTACAAAACTATTCAGAAACGCATCTGCCATCTAAGAAACGCACACAACTCTATGAGCCTATGAAGCGAAATCTTCGGTAATAGTCGGTAGCGCCATCTGTTAGTAGGTTTATTAACATACTTAAAATTTAGGGCGTAAGAAATTTTGACATTTTGTATAGAACTCAGGGCGATGGAGATTACATTATCCATTTTTTTCTTGTTTATATTAAATCATTATCTAGGATTTTCTTGCCACTTCCGTAATTGTAGTTTGCATATTTTACAATATACAAAATTAAAAAAGACACGTTACAATTATCTCGTAATACTTATTTGACGAAAAATGTGGGTGCACAGCTTACATTAAACTTAACGTAAATAAAAATTACTAAGTAAGTGTGTTTTATAAGTTTCTTTTTTTATATAATTTTTAATAAATAAAAAGAAATACAAACTTTAAATTGACTTTTGTTTTATCAATTAAAATTGTTTAAAACACCATCTCTCGACCAAAGTATGTACTATTTCAACAAATTCTAAAATAACAATAATTATTACTAAATAAGTATTACGATATTAATACACATTTTTTAATATTTAATTACTAAAAATAAAATAATATTACTTCTTGGTTGTTTTTAATATAAAAACTTCGTGACCTATTCTTCGCTGTCCAATTTGAACCACAGGTTACACAGTATTAATGTATAAGTCTGTGATATGACCTTGTTGAGTTCAACAAGGTCATATCACAGTTGACACTGACATTTGACAGTTGTCAAATGTCAGTGTCAACTAGGTGACAAACAAAATTGACTTGTTTTTATCATCATTCGTATTCAGTAATATTTAATTAACGGGATTAAAAACAAAGAATATTTCAGATTTTGGCAAAATTGAACGTTTAAATTTTGCTTAATTTTATGCATATCAAGAATATAGGACGTTATTATATGCGTCTTCATATTGCCTAATTATAAATACAAGTTTTTGTTTTTCCTAGTGTTTTGTGAAAAAGATATAAAAAGTGCCACGAAATGGGGATCTTTGGGACCTCATCACCGTTTGACCAAGACGTCGGTATGTAATCAAATAAGGATTACCAGTAGTTGCATCTTAAAGCATTATTAAAATTATTACAACACAAATAAGTAGCTTATGACTAAGTCATGTAAAGAAGAAATCTGCAATGCCACACAATATTTTAAGTTATTTCTGCATGTCATTATTACAATTATCCTATATTGTATACGATTTTCGTTTCTTATTTAAAGATTGCCTTTGAAAAAAAAATTAACATAAGTTATATCTAGGTTTCTCAAAGGCTATGTATATGCAGTGGTGAAACACTTCTTTAGATACCATTTACTATCTTGTTATTTGCGTTTAGCATTATATAGTAAATATTGGTCCCTGCTTCCATTACAAAACTAATTATCACCATCATTAGATAATAAACTAGTAATTATATTGAAAGAGCATACACATAAAACTAAGATAATTTCTGTTATAAATTTATATGATGTTTATTTGAAACAGTGTTATTCACATATACATAGTTCACTAAACTCACAATATTATGTACATAAGATAAGAAATGTGTGACTCATAATTGATGATTCTTCTGATTATTCAAATGATTACTTTGACCTTGCGGTAGCAAAAAATATAAAGGTGGTTTGCTTCTTACTTATCATTGCAAGCCTTAAATTTCAAAAGCATTAAATTAAGCACAAATGGTTCCCGTGTAAAGAATAACATTTATCAATGAAATGAAACTACAAGTATGTCCACACTGCGACCACCAAACATGACAATCGTCACAATCTTTTACACAGGCTAGACAAAGATTTATTTAGTTATTTAATTAATAATTAAATTTTCTTTTTTTTAATTATCTAAGCTCTATTGTGCATTAAAATATAAGAATACATTTATGTCATTTATTATTTTTATTTATTTTATACGTTTTTAACAATGTACTTTCCTAAACCTCAGCTTTAAATTTTATTTGTATTTTTTTATGAATGTATATTTTCTTCACTTCTCAAACTTGACTACTTGAAAAAATTGTTATGTATTTTTATTTAATGAACTATATATGTAAATTCCCAGTATTAATAATTACAGAAAGAGCAACAAGTGAGAATAACACTAGTGAAGAATGGGGTCTGATTCTGGAAATTTGCGACCGTGCCGGTGCAAATGCAACAAATGCTCGTGACTGTTTGAGAGCAGTGATGCGTCGGCTTGCTCATCCCGACCCCCATGTCCAAGTTCATGCTGCAACTTTGCTGGATGCCTGTGTGTCAAATTGTGGCAAATTGTTTCATCTAGAGGTAATTATTGTGTCTCTATTAAACACAATCTTATAGAACAATAGTCAGAGTCAGTTGTCTAGGCAAGGTCTAATTTTTTGTGTTAAAGAATAGATTTATATAAAACACTGTATGTGTGTTTTATACTGTAAAAATATACATTTTAAATGTAAAATACTGTCTATAGTTCACGCGAGTAGTACACATTTAAATAAAACACCTTAACGGTTTAAAACCTCATGACCACGGCTGCTGCAAAGCATCCGAAATGTGGGGTCGAAGTTAAAAATTATATTCAAATAAGTTTAACTAATACATCGCGTTTTAAACCGTTAAAGTGTTTTTTTTTTTTACATTTTAAATGTGTTTTTTAATTTATTTATTTCATTTTGTAAACTAGCTAAATGATTTCTGCAAATGACAAATATTGTAATAATTTTCAGTGATAGGTGTTAAACTCCTAAAAACACATACGTTTAATTAGTTTTTCCTAGGGGAAAATTTATGAATATGTATTGCAATACACACTAGGTCAGATGTGTTTCTTCTTGCTTTATGTATTTTTTTTCAAAACCCTCAATCATAACACTATGTTGATAATGTTTTATTATTAATTATTTATTTCTTAATAAGGTTGCATCACGGGAGTTTGAAATGGAGTTTAGAAGATTACTTTCAAAAGCTCAACCTCCTGTCGCACAGAAGCTAAGAGCCTTATTGAAAAAGTGGGCAGAAGGTGAATTCAGGAATGACTCTCAACTCGATCTCATACCATCTCTTCATAACAAATTATGCAGTGAGGCAGGGGAGAAGACAATAGCGCCCACTGTTGAAACTCAGGTAGAGTTTGTGTAGAATTTACTATTAGAAATACAATTTCTCATTGTATTGCAACAATGGGGAAGTAAAGAAACCAATTTTTGATCTAAATAAACGATCAACTTTTTTGAAAATCAACATAATAATATTAATGTCTAATTGCTGTAACGTTCACACTTTGACAGTTTTATGATATCTTTAGATTTTGAGGGGTTGTTGCTCGTTGTTATAATGGTAACAATGTAACCCTAATAATCAACGGGTCAAGTTTTAATTTTTCCGAATAATGGACCTCGTCTGGAAATCCGGTAATTAAATGAAATCGCAAGCTTAATCGAGTTTCGGTTTCAGTCTGGATTTCCGTATATCCAAAGCAAAAATAGGTCGACAGCATATCTTCTTTAGATGTAATATGGCTGGGGTGTTTCACCTACCAACCAATGAAACCCATGCTTGTCTGTCCATCTTAAAAAATCCAGTTTGCAATGTAAAATTACAGCAATCAGCTAAAGATGCGGCGGCCCAACGCGAACAGGAAGACTTAGCTCGTGCTATCGCCCTCTCACTTCGCGAGGCAAACGCAACAGCGGCACCTGCTAACTCCTCTACCACGGCCAAGACAACGCTGTACCCTCGCATGGAGCCGACAGTTGAGCCACCTCCCGCTAGGAAAGTCCGTGCGCTGTACGACTTCGAAGCAGCTGAAGATAATGAGCTCACGTTTGTTGCGGGGGAAATTGGTAACATTATTTACTATCTATTATATATTTATTAGTGTGTTATGTGTGAAATACATATCAAAATGCAATTTCTCCTGGAGCGTGGGGCCAACGCGTTTATGTGTCCGCTTTATATACATAGATTTATTTATAGGAAAGTAGTTGATCAGACTTCTGTGCTTTGCCTAATCGTAACAATCTATTGTTATGTTTGAAAACTTTAATATTTTTCACATGTTATTGCATAGAATGGAACCATATAATTCAAAAATCAAAAATAAATTGAAAAATCCTTAATACGCAACTGTCAAGGAAAGTTGAAAGTACATACATTGCGCAAAAGGTAATAAAATTCGACGATGAGGCATAGGACTCGGTAGCTCAATTGATAGAGCAACAGATCGAAACGCTGTCATTGTCATCTTAGGAGTCGAACCCAGGATATCGTCAGTTTTTTAATTTAAGAAAAATTACATTTAGCAAAAAATAGTTAGAGGGGGTTCTCAACAGAAAAATTAACAGTCAGCGCTAAATTTCAAAATCTTCTATTTATACTATACTAAAGAGTTGATCCCTCGCTAGAGATGGGACTGACAGAGTTTAGTGGCTTTTGTAAAAAGTTAATATCATTGTTATGTAATAACAAGCATAAGATAAGTTTTAAATAAGTATAGAGTTATAGACTTGTTTAACAATAACTCTTCATGAATTTCAGTACATGTGACGGATTCTAGCGACCCTAATTGGTGGAAGGGTTACAATGAACGCGGAGAGGGGCTTTTTCCAGCCAACTTTGTTACTTCTGATCTCACGGAACCAGCTCCTGGTATAATCTATTTAAATTGTATTATTTATCTTCTTTATGAAAAAGGCTACATGATTATTATCATTTTTTTTAGAATTACTACTTAAATTAATTAAAAATTAACATATACAGACTTATTCAAAGTCTATTCTGAAATATTATCTACGATGATAGATTTTTTTCAATGATAGGGGAGGACAGACAAGCATGGGTGCACTTGATGGGAGGTGAAATACCCGAGCCATATAACATCTACACAAGATATGCTGTCGACCTATTTTAGCTTTGGATATTCGGAAATCCACAGGCTGAAAACAAAGCGTGATTAAACAAGATTATTTTGAATGAAAATTTACAGAAAGCGAAGCAACGGCTGCGCCAGCGGCATCTAGTGGTAAAACAGTGCAATTCGCCCCTGAAATCCCCCTTCGTATCGACGAATCTTGTATGGACGAAGCACTCGCTTTGCTTCACGAAGCCGATCCCACGGGAGAAACGGCAGATGATCCCAGGCTCTGTGAACTCGAAGCCAGGGTATATGCTATGGGGCCCCTTGTAGACGCGGCACTGGAGAAAGCTGATAGGTGAGGTTTTAAACTTAAAATAACCATAGACATGTCCTCCAATACGTCATATACATAAAGTGTATTTTGACTTAAATTGATATAAACAATAGATGTTGGAAACTATCTCAAAGTCAAAAGGACATTTTCTGTGATGTATGGAGTGAGCTCGTAAATTTTTATTAACTGGTAATAATAAGTAATAGTAATGAAAGTTTAATAAATTGTAGTCATACTTTAATTAAGATATTTTGCAAGATTTTATATTTCTATGTATGTTTTAACGTTCAGTGTTACCACCTGTCATAATATTGAAATTTGTATAATAAAAATAAGTGCTTTTTAAACAAACACTAAATTTAAATTAAATCGTGATTAGAGACCTAATATTATTTTTGCCTTACTAGACGTCACGCTCGATTAACCCAGTTGAGTGCTGACCTGGTGGATGCCCTAAATCTGTACCACGAGCTAATGCGTGATCCGAAGCCGATGTACGCACCGCAATATATGCCGGTGCCCATGGGCGTGCCTCCCGTTATGCCACCAGCGCAGATGCCACAACATCCTCAACACCCACACATGGGTCCGCAGCCCCAGCCTCAACCACCTAGGTCAGTATTTATGATGATAGACGAGGACAAATAAGACATGTGGGAATGGTGAAATTTACTACTGTCATATTTTAGTCTGGGTATCTTTTGACAGGCCAGCTGGTCTAATGGTAGTTATAGTACGGCCAATAATCAACGGGTCGTGGGTCGATCAATTTATAATTTTTCTGAAACATGTTTAGACTTTTTCTGGAAATCTTATTTTATTATATATATTAATATAGAATGGGTGAAAAAAATATCGAAATTAAGTCCGGCTCGCGAAGCACCATCCACAGATGAATAAGTTGTAAAGTTTAATCACGTTTCGGTTTTAGTCTGTGGATTTCCGAATATCCAAAGCTAAATCAGGTTGACGTAGCATCTTGCTCTGATGTCATATTGCTGGTAATTTCACCTTCCATCGAGTTACCCCATGTTTGTCTGTCCTCTACCTTGCTTCTATAAAAAAAATAACTTTTTATCTGTTTCAGATGCTGATCAAAATATTCCAAGTGTAAATATCGAGTCCAAACGGTTTAGTTTTATTTTGTCGTCATACTATTGACCTTTTTAATATAAATTATACATAATTTACTTAAACATACCAAATAGTTCGGAATTTATAAGCTATTACGATATAACACAATAACCTTCTTATATGTAATATTAAGTCATCGTTATTTCTTAAATATATATGTCCAGTATTCATGATAATTTAGAAATAGCTTTATATATAAAAATTCTTGTAAAAAGATATTAGAAAACATTCAAATAAAGACGAATTAAAAAAAGATAATACATACTATGGCGATCTGTTAGTATGTATATAAATTGTGAAGAATATATAATTACGGTCCACCATGTTACGCTGAATAATAAAAAAAAACAATGAAAAAAATAATTTTATATAAATACATACTATAATATAAACAACATAACCATTATTTTTAGGTTAGCCTTAATGAATAGAGAATTTTAAATATATGTGTATGGCATTTTCCTCTTAACGTTCTGTAGAAAAATACACTAAATCATAGTTTCCAATCCCAAGAACAAGCGAATAAAACATAGTGCCCGTTAAAAAATATATAGACTAATAAATGATTGTTAAGAACCTATGATTAATTAAAAAAATATATTTGAGATTTAATTAATATGAGAGACGTAACAACGTAAAATTGTAAATATTGTAAACCTAAGCACTAAATTTTCGTTTGAAGATTGTAATTATATTTTTGATTTCGTTTTTATTTTGTAAGGAATGCGTTAGTCACCTTATTTTTAAATTAATAAATTTATTTAAAGCGTATGGTATTACGAAAGTTTGTTTGTTAATAAAAGTTACCTCTTACGCTTCCTTTTATTTTAGATTTAGTTAACACATCGCACCCCTATAAATTTTCTTCGAAGATAAATGTCTCGATGTTTCAATAAAACAGTTTAACGGTTCAAAGCGCGATATATATTAGTACAACTTATTTGGAGAATATTTCAACTATATTTAAGCCGTTAAAGTATTTTATTTAAATGTGTACTAGTCGCGTACACTACAGACAGTATTTTATGTATATTTAATTAAGGTGCTTGGTAATCATCCGGTATTGGTGATGTTAAGGGTAATTCGGGAGCTAGCAAAGCTGGTGATATCACTTTTGGGTTTGTCATGAGATAATTACGCAGTTCTGTGGCTGTAACCCTCATCTCCGGGTCCTGGTGCCAACATTTTTCCAGTGTGATACGCCTGAAAGAAAAGATTTTTTTTATTAAGGTTCTCTTTAGAAACTGTTTGTCCTGTAAGTGTTGTCTAATATTAATTAATTAATAGATTAAGAAATACAATGTAAACATAATTTTAGAAATTATTAGTTAGGTAGTAGAAATTATGTAGAAGTTGCTCCTACATATAAAATTTAATTATATAAATAGTAAATTTAAATAAAACTCCTGTATTCGCGAACTATATTAGATAACTTATTTTATTTTTTTACGACCCCACATTTTGGATGCTTTGAAGCAGCCGTGGGTGGTCACGGAGAGTCAAAATATTCTAACTAAACGTTTTAAATCGTTACCAGTGTTTTATATAAGTGTACTACTCGCGTAAACTATAAACAATATTTAAGTTAAAAATATCAAACTTTTAACAGCGTTTCTATAAATATTACTAAGATTTCATACATTTGTATTAAAGTGTCCGGCGGTAAGGGTGGACATCCTCCACTCGCGACGTGTTTTACAACCCGATAGGTAGGCCAATCTCCATAAGGGCGGGCGCCTATTGTAGCTATTTCCAGCAGTAATACTCCCATAGCCCAAATATCAGACGCTAACGAAAACACTCCCTTCTCCAAACTCTCGGGAGCCATCCACAATACTGGGAATAAAGCTTTACGACATGTCATATACGTGGCATCTTCTTCGTCTAACTCCCGTGCCATGCCAAAGTCTGCTACTTTCAAAGATCTCTGTTTATCCACGAGACAATTGGCTGCGCGAATATCTCTGTGAACTAAACGCCGCTTACCTAAATATTCTAAAGCTGTTACGGCATCGCATCCCCATCGCGTCAAACATGCATCTGAAATATCACACTCATTCTCCTCTTTAATCCGTCTCTCGCTTATAATCATATGTTTTCTCTCTGTAAGGTATCTTTGAAGATCCAAATATATGGCGTGTTCCATGAGTACTAGTGGCGGCCCATCTGCCAGACAGACTCCCATCAGCCGTATAACATTACTGTGTTCCAACCTAGCGAGAACGCACGCTTCGCGGAGTATCTCGTTTTCTTCTATTCTAAGTGTAAAGCTTTCGTGTGGTTCTTTTGCAGCCACAACTAAGGTCCCATGGCCTGGACGGGTTAACTCCGCAAAGTGTACCCGTCCATAGCAACCGGAGCCAATTTCGTGTAACAGCCTGATTGATTCTCGTTCCACTAGAAAACTCACGAGGGCCGATGCTTTCTTTTGACGGTTCTCTAGTAATCTGGCTACCAACGCTTCTCTTTCCTCTATCAGGCGTTTCTTACGTAGTTTTTGGGCATAATAAATTGCTGCACAGATTAATATGAGACAAATAGTTACCAGAATTATAGTTAAATCGTGACAAATTGGGTCGAAGTGGTCGCCGCTTGGCATTAAGCATTTCTTTCCATCGTCTATTCTTTCTGCGTCTAATAATGAATTGCATGAATTTGTGTTGTTCAATGCGGACCATTCAGGAACAACTGTAGTATTGATTATTTTCCATATAGCCATAGTACGCCGTTCATAAGTGTGCCATTGCTCCAGGTAGAATAATGGTTCGTGAAGAGAGTAATTTCTTAACATACGGTTTTGATATGTTCCGCTTGAATTCATTGTGTTGACAGCATTGTAAAAGTCCCTATAAACATAATATAGTCATTATTATCTAGAAAGTTAAAGCTATTGTTGATAAAGATAAAATACTCTTAACAAATGATACTTACTTTGCTGTACCAGATCCGTGTAAATCGTAACGATTAGATAAATCTGTTTTGTGATAAGCGTCAAATCCATGTGTAAGCATTAAAATTGCATCAGTTAATTGGGATATACCTGGTGAAACAGTGGTGTTTCTCCATAAAAAAACATTTTTTTCCAATTTGAGTCTTAAGTCAACAGAACCGGTAAAGTTGTATCCACCTCGCCGCGATGACTCTATTGTGAAGTGTGTCAGACCATTCAGGCTAAAATTGTCCTTTAATATACACCAATCTCGTACTATCCAGACATATTTCTCTAATGGCGTAAACAAATTACTTGCAATCAATAGTATTTCTTTAGACATTTTACAACTCGTGTTAACGATAAATATTCGCGCATCTCTCTGCTTTATTTTTTTCATCTCTGTTAAGACAGTTTCGTTTGTAATAACTGCTTGAGCGTAATTAAGATTACCATCCCTTACAATTGCTTTAGCAAAATTTTCAGAGTATACTGTTTCATCGGAAAGGATTGCTATTCGTTTCCATTTACATAGCGATAAAAAGTATCTATATGCTTGCGCCAAATCGGACATTTTGCCTGATGCAGTGTAAGTCGCTCTTCCAAGTACGCTATCACTTGCTGGACCAGCTAGCATTAGGGGAACCTCCGTAAATTGGGCTGCGTTCGATGCTTCTAATACGCCTGCATTCCAAGCCCAGGTTATAGTCCCAGCCGCATCTTTTCTCTTTCTTGATATGGCCCATCGTAACTCGTGATTATCAGAACAATTAATTAAGCTGTAATATAATTCTGTTTTGTAATTCACGTCCTTTGTAGTTTGAGTAAAATAGTCTTGTCCAATTATTTTCATTACTTTTTCATATAGTGCATTATATGGATCATCTTGACACAAGTATACGTCTAACCTATATATTAAGGGATCATTTCGCTTGCGATCCTTTTGGAACCATTCTTCGAAGTCTGTTTTATGGTCAAGTGCCCAAGCACAGGCTGCCTCTTCTATATTGCTAACGTTTTTAAACGAATTGGATTCGTATTCAAGAACATTTTTTATATCCTTTTCTTTTGGAGAAAATTGATTAATCCAGGTATAAATAGGTGGAGCGTATTCCTTAACAATACGTCCGTCTCCAATCCTTATCGTAGTAATAGTATCAAGATCATTAGAACACTCAATACTTCCTTTTGTACACGGTGGAGGATCAAGTGAAACGATATCAGGATCTAGATTCCATAAATCTTCATCTATGAATAAAAACCTTTCAGAACGGTTCCGAAGTCGGAATATCTCGCGACGAAAGCTTACGTCAGTTTTAAAAAGAATGAGTTCCAGTTTTGCGGCATTTGCCCGTTCTTTAAATTCCTCTAACACACGATAATCATGTTTACTCTCGTTTCGCGCTAGAATTATAACGCAGTTTGTTTTATTACAGCTTTTTGAACGTCTTCTCTCCACTGACCTGAAAATAATGGTTATAATCTATTGATACCATAATATTGTGTAAGGAATCGTGAGTTCCATCCCGACCGGGTCCATTTGTTATCAATTTTTTTTTTAATATATTATACTACGTCTGGAAATCTGGCTATTAAATGGAAGAATTAAAACAAATGGAAACTCCGTGAAGTTTATTCGCGTTTCAGTTTGTGAAGTTCCGAATATCCAAAATAACCTATTCGCACTTTGAGATGGTATTTCAACTTAAATCAAGTCAACCCTAGGATTTCACTTGTGCATAACGCTATTTTGTAACAAGGAGGAATGCTTATACTTACGCGTTATTATACTTTTCTGAAGTAAGGAAACTACATTTTGTTAAAACAGTTTCATCTATCAGTGAGATCCACGATGGAATAAAGGAACAATTGGAATGTATGCGTGCCATTAATTTTAGATTAATTTTAACTACTGCAGGTTTACTGAGACTAGTTACATAGTCAATACTGCGTTCTCCGTTACCACATCCATTTCGATTTAAAGTCGCCGCTGGAGCTAACACGACTGATCTGTTGACAACAATAGATCATTAGAAGACAGTTGTCTATTTAGAATTAATTCGACTTCAACCATTGAGTTTACCTGCTATATTTTTGTTTTATTAAAATCGGACATCGGTAAAACAGTTACAATTAGGGATTTAAGTAAGACGCTACCATTCGACCGACGAGCCGTTGGTCGAATGGTAGCATAAGTCTTGCGTTCGATCCTCACCGGGTCCAACATATATTTCTATTCAATGTATTTTTTAACGTGTTGGACTTTGTCTGGAAATCTATATATTAAATGGTTGGCAGAAATATCAAAGTTCCGTCCGGGTCACGAACCATTGTCCACAGATGAAAAAGCAGTGTTTTGTCCACAGATAAAAAGTTTCATCGCGTCTCGGTTTAGGTCTGTAGATTTCTGAATAGGCAAAATAGGCCAACAGCGCATTTTGTTGAAATGTTCGTTATAATATATAGCTATGGGGTATTTCATTTATACCCCAATCATCTTTAGCAGTTAAGATGGCGTTAAAAATCAGATTGATACTAACATGTTTTTCGTTTTTGCTGCTAGTTCGCAAACGTCAGCTTCGGTTGGATCTAAACGTGCTGCATACCGCAACCCATGACGTATCACTGCAAGCTGTAAAGCAGCTGCTGCCCTTGCTGCTCCTCCCCCACCTTTCACTATCACTTCGTATTTCTTTCTGTCAATACGGACTTCTCTTATTGCACCTACCAATATAGTGTAATCTACTTATAGCACATTTAGTAACTTGAACCTTTCACAGTCGGCTGGAGCGAAGCTATAAGTGTTTTATACGTTCTACTATGTAGAAGGAGATGTTTAACGATTTAGAAGACGCCTTGCGTGACACAGACTACATAAATTTAAATAAAACACTTTAACCGTTGAAAACGCGATGTAGTTATATTAGTTAAACTTTTTCTGAAATTATTTTAACTACAGCCAAACGTTTCGGATGATTTGCAGAAGCCGTAGTCACGGAGACGGGGTGACCAAATAAGTTTTAGTAGTATACACCCCTTTTTAAACCGTTAAAGTGATTTATTTAAATGTGTACTACTCGCGTAAACTACAGACAGTAGTAGAACAACAAACAGTTTAAAGAAATTTATCTGTTTAAGATATTATATATTAAAGATGAATGGAGACGCAGTTGGTTATATGTACTTACTTGCATTATGTGCATGCTTTTTATTATTTTATTTATTGATAACTTTAATTTTCAATTCATGCCTTTTTCGCGAAGTAAATCGATAATAATATTTGTGAGATTTTAAAATTGTTTACTTGGGAGGTAAAATAATCACCTATTGTAACATGATGGCGAGTGTATTCGATTCGATATGTTGCTTGATATAATTATAGGCCAACCTTTTTTCACTTAAACCCATATTGGTATTAAGGTATAAAAAACTACCAATACGTGCATCATTCACATACTACCTAACTATAGTTCCGGATCAAGTAGATCTCTCATCTCCAAGTACCTTTATAAGCTGCGTGTAAGGTCTCACAATATTTCGTCGTCGAATCAACAAGAACAAAAAGGACTAACGAATACGTTACAAAACTTTGCCACATCCTGCCTAAGGCAATTAGAGAAACGGACTGATATAACAGTATAGGCTTATCGGAAATTATTAATACCGACAAGTTTCCTCTTTGCGATACACAGAGGAAATAATTACTGAAACTGTTTGAGTCCCCATGAAAAAAAACGATAATGTGTTTGTAGAATACAACTGGAGGAAGCTCGCCGTGTTTACCTGATTGTAGTTATTCATTTCTATTGGGGATGCCAACTGACCCTTAATTCATTTTTTCTACTGCGGGAGATGTTGGGTTTTCTAATTCTTATTGTATGTCTGTATATTATATCGTGGCATTTTAAGTGAATACAAGATAAAAACCTCATTAGAGATTTATCTTGGTTGGTTTTATAATAATTATTACACTATTAAAAACATGTCTTTCATAAATTCAAAAAAAATATTGTTTCACCTTTTTTATCCCCAGTCCATACAGACGTTTACGTCCTTTTTTATTCCCTCCTCAGGGACACAACTTAGACCACTTATACTCTCCAATCTATTCACAATACTTTTGCTTGCTATATGTAAAAATCTTTAATTTACCCCAGTAACGAGCGTAAATGCGCCCTAATGTATGTACTATCAGCCGTTTAAGTTTTAATATTTTATACGTCACAGAATAAGATAAAGTATTGTGCCTGATTCAACACAGAAATTTGTACTAATATTAAAATAACAGTTATGATAAACGCAACATTATATTTTGTGATGTCTTTTTAGTATTAACAATTAGATAAAATAAATAACCATAGAAAAATCACCATAAATATTATAAAAAAGATTTTTTAAGTATTACGTACCTAGGTTTGGTTATAATAACTTAGAGCTAACTTATCTTCTAACTGACTAGAATCATTCGGAATGTGTGCGGTAAGTACAGAAGAATTTATGAATAATCTAAGCTATTTTTGAACTTTAGCATATAGCAGTCTGTTAACAGCTTTATATTTCATAGATCACAACTGATACCTACGTTTTATATATAAATACAATAACTTAATGTTATGGCTCGAATTATTTTTTAATAGCTATATTTACATATAAAAATAACAATAATATTTATTAACTGGTAAATTGCCATCACTGCCATCTATATTTTACCTTTATAGTGATGTTAGCTTTGATTTACATAGAAGTGATTATTAGGTTGATTTCCAATAAGCAATTAAAATTATTATTTTGAAATTTGAAAATGGAATTGAGGGTTACTAAAAAACTTTTTAAGGTATTTTACACGTTTCTGCAATTCCATTTGTAGCTGCACAATTATTATTCAATGCTGTAACTCAGCGATTAAAATAATTCTGCAAGACCAGTTTTTATTATGCAAAGTTAGTGTACTTATTTTTATTCTCATTCTACATTTAAAATTTGTTTTGAGCTGCATTTGAATTGCACAGGAACATATTTCCTAAGGCAAGTTGAGTTCTTAATCAGACTCTTCGAGGTATAAGGCGGTCTTATTATAATAATTCCCTTAATTTAAATATTTGATGCAAGAAAACTTATTCTTTGTACGTATTATGCTAAGTAACCATTATCTATCTTAAAATATTTGAACAACAGTGCATCTAAGGTAAAAATCGATCACTTTCTCGCGGTGCTTCTGTACTGAGGTAGGTCGTATCTGTAGTCGCGGATGGAGGAGCGGCCCATGACACCCATCGAGCCTGAAAGACAATATTATAGAATAATGTACCATCTGTAGCTTATAAGAGTAGGACACACTTATTTTAATTGCGACGCGACGTTGCCAGCGGTAACCAGTGACCACGGGTAATACAAGCAAAACGCTAAGTAGTAGATAAGATAATTCAAAATATTGAAGATTGTGATTAAAACCGAATAACAACAAATAGTTGCCTAAGTTAAAAATTACTATTTTTAACCACTTACTTCAGCCCTATCTCTTGGTAAACGCCAAGAATCTGCGTCGAGTGTCAACGCGTCCAGAGGGATGTCTAGACAAGGAGTTAGCAGTCTAGGAGTATCCGCAATGAAGGCAGCAACCTCGGATGCAGTAGGACGCGATTTATACTCAGGCTGCCAACAAGATTTTATGAGCCCTTCCCTGAAAGAATATTAACAAAAATATATTTCATTATACAGTAAACATATGATTTATTCAACTAAAAAAAAGAATCAAACTTACAATTGAGGCTTCAGTCCTGTCGGGAGAGTGATCGTTTGACCAGACTTCACTTTATTTAGAACTTCGCTGTTGCTGAACCCTTGGAATGGTAGCGACCCAAATGTCACTATTTCATACAACAGAACCCCAAATGACCATACGTCTGATGCTGGCAAAAATATTCCTAAAGCTAAACTCTCTGGCGCCATCCATCGCACCGGAAGCATGCCTTTTCTGCTAAACCTGTAGTAATCATTCTCAAACACAAGTCTTGTCATACCAAAGTCGGCTAATTTCACCACTCTTCTTGCACTCACTAAACAATTTCGAGCTGCAACGTCTCTATGAACATATTTCATTTGAGCTAAGTACGAGAGAGCTCTCGCTACATCTAACGCCATGCCAGTTAATCGCCTTGCTGAAACTTGTTCTTCGGGATCATCTCCCGAATCCGCGTTTGCTAAGTGTCTTCTCGCTAGTAGGTAATTCTTTAAATCACCATATAACATAAATTCCATAACAGTACACACCGGTTCGGTCTTAGTTATAACAGCTAGTAAGCGTACAATATTCTTATGATCAAATCGTTTCATGACTTCCGCTTCTGACAAGAAGTCGACTTTTTCGTCATTGCTTGCTCCTGCTTTTAAAGTTTTAACTGCAACAGCTGTCCAGCCACGATCTTCTGCCAACAAAGCGTGGCCACCGTAAACGGTACCAAAAGCTCCCATGCCCAATTTACGATTAATTACTACCCTTTCGCGGGCTATTTCCCATGGATCTAGTCCAACGGATTGAATTAATGGTAACCTCCTAAGCGTTAAAGCTTCAAGTTTAGCGCGATATTTCTTTTCTGCACGTCTTTTGCAATACAAAACAAGTCCAGATAGAAGAAAGATGGTAAATGTCAATAAAATTGACGCTAGGAGTATGGACGCAGTTCGGCATTCGGTGTGAAAAAGGTCTGCAAATGGTTGCATAGCACAGCGTTCGTGTCCATCGTCTGGTTTCCGCCCATCAGAAGTGTACCATTTTAAATTGTTTTCATTCAATTCTAGTTTCTCATTCCACCACCGGCCAATTTCAAGGCGACGTTTACCGTCCCATTGATATATTACTAAAGGCGAGCTGCGGGCGAATACAGCTCCCTCATCGCTAAGTTTAGTCCATTCAAATTTGCCTGTGAGGCCAACATAATCTGTCAACGTTGCATTTGTCACTAAGGATCTGAAATAATAAAAAATATATTTCGTAATTTGAATTGTAATGAGTTGTGTATTTGGCAAAACAGGTAATAAAAAAACAAGTTTTCTAATGTAGAAGTCTAATTAATGTAACAGTGAGAAACGAAGTTAATAATTTAAATATGTTTTTGGATATACGAGCATTCACGAGGGCTGCCAACAGTGTCGCAATAATCATTTGACCGAAATATAACAAACAGATTCTTATTTTTTTAATCTATGAAAGCGCGTTTAAACTATCAAACCAATATTTAAGAAATATTTTATAGGTTATTTTCAAATAAACTATATTTCACGGAATAAATGTCGGCAACCCTATCTGTTGTGACATTGGAAGTTTTAAAACTAGTCCACGGAATGCATAATCGTTCGGATTAATGTAGTTCTCACTTGATACATCGTTTATTTTCATTTCAAATTAGTTATAAGTTAATATAATTATGACTAATATGGTAAGCAAATAAATACACATACTGCTAACGAATATTGCAACAATTTTTGAGTTTTAGGATGTCCTTTTTAGTAGTCATATTTAAAGTTAGGTACCTTATAAGATCAGGATCATGCAAGTCGTCCAGAGCGGTTGGGCGACTATTTATCAATTGTTTTAGCGTGTTTGCCCATAATTTTAGAGTGTCGTATAATAACACTGCATGTGGCCCGGGCTGTGCACAGTCCACTTTGAGCCACTGACAAGCTTCTCTCCATCGATATTCCCAGGACTCAATTTCTTCTGATTTTGAACTATTGCCATGTTCCTGAAATCAGTTTTGTTCTTTATTATACATAAAATTACTAAGAGAGAGTTGTAATAATTTTCTAGTATCGATTATACCTTTTGGGTGGGTACTAGGACTTTGCTGTCTGTTGCTAAGCTGAATCTCAAAAATAGAGATTAAAATTAAAGATAGACACAGTTGATACAACAAAAAAACACAAGAAATAAAATATACGAATAGGAATGACACGATAGCTCTATCGCTTAGATCAGCGTAATATTTTTTTAAATTTATATCGATTTTTAGTTTATATTTTGGACATTTTGATTTTTACACACTTACGTCACTCAACCATGGAATTAGCCAATCTGGTGCCACTGAAATATGCCCCAAAATCATTTCATCTATTTCCTCAGACGAGCACGTATCGGCTTCCGTCGGTTCATACCAATTAGGAGGCAAAGATGAAGGGAGTATCCAAACTGCTCCGTTGCTGGGAGTGAGTCCAGATTTATGACCTGCACACAATGCGTGTCTCACCGCTCGTGCATCTTCAACGCAGATGTAGATGATTCGTCCATTTGCTCGCGCTATTCGATCAGCCCACTGTAATTAATACAATATTAGGATAAGTAACAATACATTTGAAGTTTGAAAATCGCCGCGTTTCAATCAACATAAAATAATTAAAAACTAACCAAAGTGAATGCAGAAGGGTCATACTCAGGTCTCTCATCTGGAAGTTCTAAATGTACTATAAAATCAACACCAAGACTTGCTGTCGCTAAAGCTGAATGGGTTGATGATTCACTCAGCGAAACCACTCGTCTCCATCCCAAGTTAGCCAATAAAGCTGCTACTGCTTCTCCAGAAGTTCTAGCATCACCGGCCGCTAATAAAGCTAGAGGAGCAGCCGGCGGAGCTGGGGGAGATTGAGCAGTATATGCCAATGCTGGTAAACCGTGAGCCGGACCTTGTCTTACTACATCAGCAAATGGTGCTCCACATGCAGGGCCAACTGCCGCTGTTAATGTATCGTAATCACCAGTACCTAATGCGTCGATTAGGTACTTATACGCTTCGGCGGCATTACATCGATCATCATAGGTTTGAACCTAAAACATAGAAAGATTAAATAGATTGCTAGATATTTTGAGGGATTTGATCAAATCAGAGCTACTTATTAATCAATTGCAGACCTTAAAGAAAGCTATTCCCGGCAATATTTCTTCAAGGTCTCTATCGGCTAAAGCAGCAGCAGCGGCTAACGCCGAAGCATCGTAGACTTCTCGTATTGTTGCAACTGGTAGGAAAGCTACCACACGCAACTGACGGGAGTTGCCTCGAATTGGATGTGCAGCTAAAAAACTGAGGGCACCCGCCTCTACTCCGTTTTCTTTCTTTCTTGAAGCCAATTCTTGCAAGTCAGCAAGGTTTATTTTTAATCTGTTCAAAGCTCTTACTGCGGTGGGTGATCTCGCTAGTGCTCTGGTATTAATCCATTTTACTAAACGGCGACTTTCAAAGTGGCACTTGTCAGGATCCATACCGCACGATGGAGGGCCCAGTGGATAATACGGGCCATTAAACCGTTGGCTCCAATCACAAACGATGAAGGTTTCTTTTTTGAAGGACTTGGTTATTTTATGCAGTTCATTTCCCAATGGAACGACTATACCGCGCAAATAATTTTCTTTAATTACAGAATAAAGGAGACGGGCTTCTCCCTCGTCGCTTGTGAATATAGTCGCGCATGAGCTATTAGCGTTACACCATTCTGGTTCCATAGAGATAAGAGGCTCAATTAATTGTGTTCTGTAACAAGATATTCAGGTAACATTAATTGACTCATAAATATATTCCTTTCCAATTTACTCTCATTAATCATCTTTAATTTCTTTAATTTATACTATCGTATATTAGCAACAATTGCTCGTAATTCTAACCTACAAATAAATTATCTTATAAAACAGCTGACTTATAAATACTTACTGTTTGGTCGTCGTATTATCTAGCATATCTGTTTGAAGTGCTGTAGATATTTCGCGCGGTGATAAATAATACTTCTTAGCTAAAGATGCATCCTCTAAGTCAAGTAATGAACGCGCGGGTGGTGTCCCTACACACACTCTCCTTGTTGGTGAAGTTACATCACCAAGATCATCAAAGCCAGTGTCCCGTAACTGCCAAGCAGCTGGTGCATTAGCTGCCGGTACAGATAATAAGGCTACGTGCAAACGCCCTTGTCCCAATTCAGCAAGAATGGCCTCTCGACAGAATTCTGAGTCTGCTCTTGAAGGCGATATGCATGATTTTGGAGGTGGCACTGTGTGTGCCTTTATTCCAGCGATTCGTAATGTCAGGGCGGCTAGTTCAGCCAACGCCGGTGATACATCGATACCGTCTCCAGCCACACATGCTGTTACAGCAATCGAAGGCTCTTCTTGTATAAGATTAATAGCTGTAATTTGAAATAAGTCTGTTTTAAGCAGTTCGAAAGTATTATAAATTGTTAATACTAACTCTACTAAGTCTTATTCATCAAAAACATTCATACGATATACAAACAAGTATTCCAAAATATCTTTACAGCTGTAAGTAGTTTTTAATAATAATAAAAAAAAAATAATCATGTTTAATATTTTTAAAATTACTTATCTTCTTCTCATTAAGGACAAACCCACCTGAAACTGTTGAGAAAATGGCGAGCAGCAGCGTGCACGCCCCAGTTCTCCAACTGAAAAAACAAGTAGAATTTTACTTCTGATACAAATATAGTTGGTGTAATGGTAGCAATACATGGCTAATAATCACTGGCTGTGGATTCGATCCCCTCCAGGTACAAAAATTCTAATTAATTTATGGCTTTTCTGAGACATGTTGGACTTCGTCTGGAAATCTGGATATTAAATTGGCGGTAGGAAATAGAAATTCCAACCAGGTCGGATGGATTTCCGAATATCCAAAGCCAAAATAGGAAGACTTGTTTCGATGATATATGGCTGGAGTTTTTCACCTACTTTCAAGTAAACGCCAAAATTGTCTGTCCTCTATCATGAAAAAAAAACAAGAATAAAATTCAAAGTAGAAGTTTTTTTTAGTTTCGTGGAAGTTAAATTTATTAACTGTTGACGTTCTTAAATGGGCCTAAACGATTGGTTTTAACTTTTAAGCAGGTCAATATTTGAATAACAAATTTGACAATGTTTTTTATTCACTATATGTATAATGTAAGTAATATTACTTATATTACACTTACAAGACGGGAAATAAAAATTTAAATGAGCATTCGAAAGTTTAGAAACTGATTTCATTAAAAATTTCATTTCGCTGCTCCAATAGCTAGTTACGAGTAGAATGTCTATACACCAGAATACTTTAACAATGGTCTTCACAGATAATAATAAGTTTCTACAGATGACTAGCTGTGTTAGAATGTAGAATAGTTGCTTTGGGCATCAAAATTTATTTTGCCAAACTCCTGTTCAACTCTACGAAGTCAAGACGTTACCCACGACGTTGTCTGCGTCCCGTCGTTATTGTAAGTTCATCTTAAAAGATAGACATAATATACTCGTGGACATTTTTAGATCACTTTAAGAGGAATCATTCTTTCGTATATATTATTTGGGTATCTCTAACCGTTTTTGCAGTGTAGGTAAGGGAAGCCCACAAGAATGAATAATCTTCCCCGTTTTTTCCACATTCCCCAAAATTTCTTCGCTCTTAATAGTCACAGCGCGTGTTGTTTTTTTTTAAACATGTTTTATGGCCTTCCGTTATTGGCCTTCCTCCTAATTATTATTTTAATCAAACCATTAGTTTATGAGATTAGCTCGTCCAAACAAACTGTTCAGCTTAATATAATAGTATAGAAGTATACATAAAAAATAGTGTACATAAAAGTAAAGTTTTCAAGAATTCATAACAACGATATAAAGATAGTTATGTTATTTTTGCTATTATCACGCTGTAATACGTATATGTTTACAAATACAGCATTTTGTTTTTATCACTGAAACATAATTGCGCAAACTGTTATCTCCATAGACAACACATTTACATTATTTATATCTAAAAACAATAAAAATGTACAATTTTAACTTCTCCTGGGGTATGGGGTCTTTTTATGTAAGCAAGGACTTTTGTGTCGACCGAAATTATTGTACCTCGTAACCTCGAACCCAGGACGACGCCACGACGACAGAAAGCTATTGAGCCAAACGACTGGGTATCGTAATAATATAAATAATAAAATAAAAGTGATAATAATCGTATAAGTCCATATTTCGTCGTACAAAAGAGACTTACTTCTATATAGCTAATATTTACTTAACTGCGCAATGGTTAATTTTAATGTGTAAATTCAACATAAAAACGCGTCTGCCTAATTATAAGTAATGACAATAATTTTTTCGTTAAAATTCAATGTCTTTTGGTGTTGCCCATGTTATCTAACTCATATAGTTATATTTTTGTATAATAAAAACAGATGCGTAAAACTTATTAGCTGAGATTCAAAGGACAATCTTTGTGTCACAGATGGCGTTATTTAGATTTAACGACAAGGTAGTTAAATTCTCAGAACGCAGAATAAGCAAGCAACGCTGAGGGTGCCGGTTCGAAGCCCGTTCGAGTTGTAGTTTTTTAAAATCGTAATAGATTTGTATTTTATTTTCATTGGACAAAAGTGCGCTATAGTTCTATTTTCACAAATTGCAAATCAAACTTCAAAGAGACGTTTTCGAAATGATTAAATTTTTCATACCTATTATCTATTTACCTCATGTGAATTCCAGCTGTAGACAAATGAGAGGAACACGATGCTACACTTCCAGCATCTGCCGAAGCGCCACCTGTACCCTATCTGAAAGTTTAACATTATAATATTATTTTACATAGGCCATATTATTAAACTGCAAAATATTTTTTCTAACTCGACAAAATACCAAAACTAATACCGGTCGATTTCAAAACATAGAAAACTAGCGCTGCCCTTTTATAGTCGTAGCCACAGATGACACAGTCTTAAAGAAATGTCCATTATATATGGACCAAAACCAAACGACCTTAATATTCAAAAGCACTTTTATGCCGACTATTTTTTTTATTGATTATTATTTAACTCGACGTTTGTAATGCTTTTCAGCGATCGTGCAAAAAATTTTCTACCTTATATTGTCGTTGACTTTGCTCACATTCCATCCCTATGTAGATGTCATACTAAAGAAATTTTAATCTGTAAATTTATTTTTAGGGTTTAAATTAATTTTAGCATGAAATTGTGGTTTTACTAAGTGAATTTGAGGTAGTTAGTTATAATCCAGTTTTTAGTGTGAATGAATGTCAACCTTGTGAGAAAATCACGATTTCATGTACCGATTTCATGTATTTAGTTTAGTTTGTTTACCAAAAATGCCAACTAAGAAAAAATAGACTATAAATTCAGATTAAATCCCAGTAAATATATAGGACAGAGATTACTATGATACTGTAAAATTGGAATTTAAAAATGCTATAAAAATATTTTTGAATAAGAACACGACGGTAAAATAATGTTTTCTTTAATTAGTTGTAATGTGTTAGCATAACACTTTACCGCAATTTTAGTATTACTTCTGCTCGTACATTTCTTTCGCACTTTTTTAACAGATGTCTAATCTTTATAGTTTTTGATACTAAAACATCTTAAATTAAAATAAAAATTTATATATTCGACGGATCGTTCGATTACCACCAGATCCAATATAATCCTAATCAATCTTTTTTTTTTAACATTTCACCTCGAAATCAAGGAAATATCGAAGTTGACAGATGAAAACCCGTGAAGTTTAATCGCGTCTATAGATTTCCGAATATTCTAAGTCAAAATAATGTGACAGCCCATCTTGCTATGACGTCATATGGCTCGGGTATTTTATCTTCTATCATATATGTCTTCGTAGTCTAATATGGTAGCTTTCTAAATATAGGCAATTGTTCTGGCGACTCGATTGAGGTACATTTTATAGTGGTTAAAAGTTACGTCATTAAATATTGCAGTCAGCAGTATCTAGAGTAAATAATCTGGTTTCGCGCAAGTGAATATAAGCTATATTTTTATCTGTATAAAGTTAAATGTTGTTACATTGCTGATTTACCCTGGTGGATAGGGAATCCTAAAACTAATACTTCTGTACACGATTCCTATCGATGTATTGGATTGTGAACAGGGCCCCGACAGAGGTCATATCGGGGTCGCTTTGGTCGTTACGCAATTTACCAGCAGGGGTCGCTGTACGACAAGTTTATGGAAGATTTTTATTCGGTGCGAAATAATATAATCTTTTTTATCAAATAAATAAACATACAATTAATTATTGTAAATGTGTGTTTCATTTCCACACTCCTTCTGTTGTTCTTATCTCTCATTATAATAGACAAACCTTTTTTTAGTCTATACTAATATCATAATCTAATCTCGGGAACTGCTGGTTGGATTTGTAAAATTATTTTTGAGTTAGCTGGACAATTTATCGAGAAAGGCTTGAAAGCTTGATGCTATAAATCATTAAGCTGCAACCAATAGGAGTGAATAGACAGAAGAAAATTATTTGAGGGATTCCGTTGTGTTCGCTGCGATAACAAAAACTAGATAAATATGTTTCTTGTTTTTAAATAATTTAAAGAAATCTCCACGACAATATCCTACGTATATCTTTAAGATGAACTCGCAAGATCGACGGGACGTATTCATAAAGCTGAGGAGGTCGTTTGAAAGAATAAATATGGCGCCCAAATTAACTGATCCACGCGGACGATAACGCGGTCTCAGCTAGTATATCATATGCCAAAAGAACGTTTGCCAGGACAGGTATGTTGTTGTTGTTATACTTTTATTGTCTTCGACTTTATTTCACCAGTAACTGTGGCTGATTGTCATACATGATACCGCCTCAGTCAATGAATAAACATTTTTCAAGGTGTTATTATAAAATGGCATATTTACGAACTCGCGTTCGCTCGATGTAAAAATGGCGTAACAAACGTTACGATTGCGACTAGCGATTATTGGAAATGATAAAAAACATCTGCAGCAAATAAATGGCATACCTCTAAACGGCATTTTGCATTTGCAACCATGATAAGCCTGCTTGTGAATATATATATTTTTTCTATTTATGTGTATTATACAAGTATTTTCGAAGAAAAAAAACATAACACAGGCAGGACTCGAACCTACCTACCTCTGACCATCACGAGTAACGTGAAGTGTCGCATGGGGCGTACACGATTCCGTGTCCGTTACACTGATCGGTTTTATTTACAGGCAAGTAATTATTGATACTTCTGTGCCCTGTCCGACCGAAACAATCTATTGTTTCCCGGGCATTCGAATCCAGGACCTTTCGCGATTAACCATTTAACTACAGAGGCGGAAGTGCAACAACATGAGGCACTAAAATCTGATGTTAGTAAAATCTGTCTGTAGTATCTGTAGTACATTTAAATAAAACACTTTAACGGTTTAAAACGCGAAATATTTTAGTTACTTTAAGATTAACTTGCATGAACGACGGGACGCGACCGACGTGGGCAACAGGTTAAATCTATAAAGAGGTAGAGGCCCAAAATAACTATTCTACGCGGACGAAGTCGCTGACACAGCTAGTATTAGTAGTAGTTATTTCATAACATACCTACTACGCCTGTGAATTTGAGTCACGTTTTCGTATCGCCCATACGTATCTACCTAATTTGTTTTAAAAATATTTTCACATCGTTATTTCAAACGTCAAAGACGTAATGCTTTTTTGTCTTGTGACCGCGATAATGTGGTGTATTTTATTCATTTGATACAAACTTGATCACCTTTAAATATTAAGGTGACCAATTTTAAACAAAACACGTATAAAACTTTTAATTACTTATACAGATAAGATATCTATATGGTTATAATGTATTACTCTGAATTTTAAGCTCTTAAACTGCGTAGTTTAAGTATAGGCTACATAATAAATTTAATACTTTTTAACGGTTTAAAAAGCGTATTGTATAATTATATTAGCTACGATTCGTTTATTATGCATTCATGTCATGTCGTCAATCATGGCCATTGGAGGTTCGAAGTGTCTAATTGTAGTTAAATTAATGAAAATATTTCATGTTATAAACCGTTTAAAAGTGTTTTAAAGAATGTGTACCTAAAATACGTGGTCACAGTCGAGGCAAGACGTCGGTTCGATATAATAGAAGTCTATAAATTACATTTTACAATATAATCTATACTTTACATAGTTTCTTTTGTGTTTGTATTAAAATTAATCTCTAGACCTTAGGGAGGGTAGGTTATTCAAACTGTAGAAACAATAACAATAGGTATAATTTGTGACGGAAGAATTCTTGAATCCGATACTTTTAATTAACTTTAATAGTTTAGCTATGCGACACATTTTTTCTTTTTTAGTTCGAATGTGTTTTTCGCCGAGAAACTTTAGTTTGTTTAAATCTTAACTTTTGTGTAAAATATTTATTAGATTACAAGTACTTATGTATACAGATAGTATTCAGCTATAATTTTTGTAAAAAAAATGTTGTAAACAATTGCTTAAAATAAAACACTTAAAACGCATAGTAAAAGTCATTTTAAGCTACGGCCAACCTGGCCCGTGATAACAGTTCCTACATACCTACCAACCTGGTGGTGGTAGTAAGACGATTTAATATTTTGCGTATTAAACCGTTCATTGTATTCTACGTCACCGCGGCTATTGTAACGCGGGGTCGTATTTTAAAATAAGCAAATTTATTTCGTGTTTAAAACCGCGAAAGTGTTTAAGTTATTTAAAAGACAAAAATAATTATATCTTACGTTAGTTTAATACGTTTAGATTTGTAAATAAAAAATAAATTTAGAATGTGTAGTTTGAAGTTTTTCTATAAGCTTATTCAAATCTTGCAGAGAAAATAAACGTCTTAAATTGTAAGTGTAAAAAACTAAATAAAGGAAATTGTATTTGATCTTCTCTCTTAACGATAATGTGTTTACATTGACTATTCAAGTATGTGCGATAAGGTTTTATTATAATTTACCTATAAGCACTGTTCGTTCTGTTATCATCAGATTGGAAACATTTCACAAAAAAACAAAGGCACATCACACAAATATGTTCTGTCACTATCACTAGGTCATGTTTACTACTGTTTTATGGACATAGCTGCGGCGCAGTTTCCAGTTTATAAACGTTACGTGTTACAATAACGAAAGACGGACTCGGAGTGAGATAGCGACCTGCGAAGGACGGATAGCAAGTACCGACTGAGCACTTGAGCAGGATTGACTACAAACAAGTTGTTCAGTAAACTCAGCGACTGCTATGTGCCAACTAGTGTAGGTTGATACTAAAAGATATCTAGAATTTGTTTCGTTTTGGCGGCAATTGTGACGTTCCGCGCGCGTGCGCATTTATAAATTATAGTTTGATCAATATAGGGTGACACAGGATTTTTCTTTTTACTTTCGTTGTGACTTGCACACAAAAAATAAGAAATCACAACACAAACAAATTAATTATTATTGTATCTTAATTATTGGTGTTATTTGTTAATTTATAATATATAATTATAAGTAGGCATCGTCTTTTGTTTACGTGAGTAAAACACATTTAAATAAAACTTTTAACGGTTTTAAATGCGATATACATTATTTTACTTTCTTTTAATATGGCCCGACGCCGATATTTAGAATACAACAGCCATGATCGCAGAGGGACTAAAGATGGAGGGTGTCTCTAATGTTAAAGTAAACC